CAGCCATGGCCACCATGCTGGAACACCCCAGTAGGCATGTCCATGTAGTGTTCCATGTGAATGGGGTACCCCAGAGTTGTGCACTTTATTAGCCTTGTCTGAATGCTACGCTCCTAGTAAGAACTCTGATAATGTACTGTGTTTGGAAACAAAATAGAACAACCTTGGAAGTACCTGTAGCTGCCTCCAGAGCATCTCCAGTGAGAGGTTTGGTACATATCGCAAATTCAGCACCTTAGAAAACAGAAGCCATTGTCTCTGCACATTGTGCAAATATTACATACACACGTATTCTCTATTCCAAACACATGTCCCCTTCTATTTTTAAGATTCATCCAGTCCAATGCCTTTGTTCAGGCCTTGGACATATTTCACCTGGGCTGTTTCAGTTCCCACCTAACTAGTTTCTCTGCTGCTAGTCTCTCCGTTCTAATATCTGTTTGGTCTCCAGAGGGATTTATGTCATGTCTCTAGCATTTATGCTAGAGAGCGTCCCTGTGCAGGTTAAAGACCAGACTGTTGCATGACAGGTACACATGCTCCTTCACAGCACGGCCCCACCCTGGGTTTCCGACATTTCCTGCCATTTCCTTGCTGTTCTCCATGGGCTTTATGTCCCGCCCTGCGTGGCACACCCTGGCTGCACGTTAGAATCACCTGGGGAACTTTCCAAACTGCTGAAACTCATTCCTACCCTGACCTACCTTTTCTTAAAAATTAATTTTATTTTTCAATTACAGTTTACATTCAGTATTATTCGGTAATAGTTTAGGTCACCCCGACTTAACTCTTAGAGGTGAAGCCAGGGCATGAGTATTTGTTCAAAGTTCCCCGGGAGAGTCTCATGGGCAGCCAGGAAACACATCACTAGGCTTTTGCCTTCTTGTGAACATAACAAGCCCTGTACCTGCCAACCTTTCGCACACAGTTTGCTCCATCTCCTCCTTTTCTTTCCCTGTTGTGTACAGTGAAGCTTGATTCGTTCTTCAGCCCCACTTCTCAGAAGGGTTGTCAGACCTCTCCCTTCTCCCAGGAGTTGGTGGTTCTCTCTACCGTGTTCTCATAGTGTTTTCTCTGTTTTTCACGTCGTGTCAATGGTGAGTTATGTAAAGGAAGGGCCCTTATCTTATTTATAATGTGCCCCCAAAGCCTTGCATAATGCTTAGCACCTCAGCCTGGAGAGACACTAGTCTGATCCATTGTACAATCAGTACTCAATTACCTGACATAACAAGATTAAAGAGCAGCTACCATGCTGTGGTGAGAGTCAACTCTTGCCAGAGTAATTGAATTTTGTTCTATGAAAATATGAAAAACTGAAACAGGGAAGAATTGTCAGGGTGACTGTGTGTTGAATGAATGACCCACTTTACTTTGATTTTGATAAAGTTCTTAATGCTTTCATGAATAGTTTTCTCCGTGATCATGTAGGGAAAGCATTGTTTCAATTCTACAATGGAAGTGGATGAGGAGGTAGTGGGACATTAATGATCAAAGAAAGGCATCTGTGGTTAATAATTTAATAGATGTGATTCATTAGTATAATGCCATTGGAAAAAAAACTTGTGGAGAAGAGCCCACATGCTACTGGAATGTAGGTAGTTATTAAGTTTTGATCACCATAGTTCATCAAGGAGATGGAGTGTTCGAGGATTCAGAGACCAATGCCAAAGATAATTAAAGTAGTGGGAAGCAGGTCCTGTGGGGAAAGGTGGTGTAATTGAAGCAAGAAAAGGCCGAGGGACACACATTTGATTACTAATATCTTTTTTTTTTATTGTTGAAAGTATTACAGATGTCCCCCTTTTTTGCCCACTGACCCCCTCCTTTCCACTCCCACCCCCCTCCTGCCTTCCCCACGGTAGTGTCCATGTTGATTGGTTGTGCATACATGCATGTAAGTTCTTTGGTTTATCTCTTCCCTCCTCTCCTCCCCCATCCCTCTGAGGTTTGTCCGTCTGTTCCCTACATCCAGGATTCTGGATCTCTTTTGGTCGACAGCTTATTTTGTTCATTATGTTCCATAAATAAATGAGATCATGTGGTAGTTGTCTTTCTCTGGCTATTTCGCTCAGTATAATACTGATTACTAATTTTATTATATACACATTTTTTTGTGAGATATATTCTTTATATCCACAAAAAATAAGCATGAAGAAATTAGTTTATATTACAATAGGCAAGTTTTGGTTGGACATTAAGAAAAATATTCTAGCTAATTGGGTTATAAAATGCAAATCTGACCATATTATCCTCTAGTTAAAAAACCCTAATTGACTTCCCATTGTTTCTAGGTCAGTGTCTACTTTCTTTTTTTTTAAATAAAGCATGTAATTTATTAGTTATCTGGGTTTTTTTTTTTAACTGTTTACTCAGATTCATCTATTGTTAACATTCTGTCCATTTGCTTCATAATTTTCTCTCTCCCTCCCCCCTCTCCCTCCTTCCTTCCTTCTCCCTCCCCTTCTCTGTCTCTCCCATTTGAAGGTAAGTTATATTCATCATGGTCCTTTATCTCCAAACACTTCAGTGTATATTTCCTAAGACTAGGGATATTATTTTACATAATTAAAGTACAGTTATCAACCTCTGTACTAACATAATTGCCATACTTTTGTCTAATCCGCTGTTTGTATCAAATGACTACATAATGTCTTTTTTAAAATGTAGATTTTATTTATTTATATTTGTATTGTTGAAAGGATTACAAATGCTCCCCCTCCCTCCAGTTAGCTGGGTTTTGACAAATCAAGGTTCCAGTGACTTTTTAGGAAGATAATATATAAAATGGTTTGGGAATTTTAATTTGTTGGAAAATGAAATTATGAATGATGAAGAAATCATATTGTCATATCAACAATAGATGAAGATAAATAGGAAAAAGAAGAAAAAGGGGGAAAAACAAACACAGAGCCCCAAATTGCTTATGTTGTGGCCCAAATTCTCTGTTCATGTTATGTTGAGACACAGTTTCTATCATGAAGGGGACGAGCCACAATGTATGACAGTGTTCTGTCTGATGAACACCTTAAGATGAGGTTTTAATAAGTAAATCTACACGTGTATATTTTAAGCTAAAATAACAATGTTTAAAATATGTATATGTGTTTTTCTTAAAGATTCCATTCCTCTACACTTCGAGGATAATTTTTTTCAACTATTACTCTAAAATAATTTTAAACATACAGGAAAGTTACAAGAATAGTACAGCCCTGGCCGGTTTGGCTCAGCGGTTAGAGCATCGGCCTGCGGTCCTGAGAGACCCGGGTTCAGTTCCCGCTAAGGGCACGTACCTCGGTTGCAGTTTGTCCCCGGCCCTGGTCGGTTGTGCGGGTGGCAGCCACTCGATGTGTCCCTTTCACATCGATGTTTCTCTCTCTCTCTCTGTTCCTCTCTCTCCCTCCCACTCTACCTGAACAAAAAAACTGGAAAAATGTCCTCGGGTGAGGATAAAAAAAAAAAAAAAAAGAATAGTACAAAGAATACCTATTTACCTTTACCTAGATTTACCTGTTGTTAACATTTTACCCCATTTATGTGCCCATGCGCTCTCTCTCTCTCTCTACATACACACACACACAATTTTTATTCTATCCACTTGAGAATAAACTGCATACATATGGACCTTTATTTATAAATCCTTTAGAGTATATTCTCTAAGAAGAAGATGTTCTCACAGAAACATTGGACAGGTATCCACTTCAGTAAATACATTGTAGATACAATGCTTTAATCTACCACCCATATTCTAATTGTTCACTGACCCAATAGTGTCCTTTATAGGTGTGTTCTTTTCCTTTAGTATAAGCTCTAGTCAAGCCTGTGTTTTTCAAAATGGCATCTGAGCCCCTCCACGAACAAAACTCTAGGGTTATCTCTTTCCAATTGCAATCTCCTCACCTTTGCCTCACCCCAGGTAGACTCCCCTGTGTCTTAGTTTCTGCTCCTTGGGGTGCTAGAACCCTTTCCCTTACACAGCACCCACTTTTCTTTTTCTTTCAATACTCAGTCTTTCATGAAGACTTGCCTTGCAGCGTTTCTGACCCAGCTGGGAGCCAGGGGACTTTCTCCTTATTCCCTCCCCACATCTGGTACCCTAGATGTGCTTGAAGTATCAGTGCATATTCATGAGTACATATCTGCCCACCACCCCCAATCACCCTTATCCCCTGCTATGAGACACTAAGATCTTTGAAAACAATGAACCATATTTAATTGGTTTTTGTGTCCCTAGAGGTTAACATGGGGTCAGTCACACAAGAGGTGCTTTATAAAAATTTATTTGTCAGCACCGGAAAGAGCTGCTGTAGGAAGTTGTAGGAGTCTGATCCTGAAGAGCTCCCAAGGAAGGGAAATGGTTCTGAGGGGGAAGGGAAATGAGTTTGGTTTGGGGCATTGGTCTCTTCCAATGAAATGGTAGAGTATAGTAAAATCAGGCATAACTTTTACTTTCTTAAGGTTTCTCAAGGTCACATACAGCCTTTGCAAGAATGTGGACTGGATTTACTTTTTACTTTTTAGTTTTTTTTTTTTATCCTCACCCGAGGACATTTTTCCATTTTTTGTTCAGTTAGAGCGGGAGGGAGAGAGAGGAAGAGAGAGAGAGAGAGAGAGAAACATCGATGTGAAGGGACACATCGGGTGGCTTCCACCCACACAACCAACCAGGGCCGGGGACAAACTGCAACCGAGGTACGTGCCCTTAGCGGGAACCGAACCCGGCTCTCTCTGTACCGCAGGCTGACGCTCCAACTGCTGAGCCAAACTGGCCAGGGCTACTTTTTAGTTTTTAATTTTAAACTAGTTTTAGACTTCCAGAAAAACAGGACAGATAGTTCCTAGAAATCCTTCACCCAGCTTCTCCTAATAGTAACATCTTCTATAACCATAGAATGGTGATCAAAACCAGGACGTTAAGTTTGGCACAATGCTGCTAACTAAGCTACATACCTTATTCACATTTCATCAGCCTTTCCACTGATGTCTTTTTTCTGTTCCAGGATCCTGTCCAGGATCTCACCTTGCATTTAGTTGTCATGTCTCCGTAGTTGCTCCCAATCTTGGACAGTTCCTCAGTCTGACCCTGCCCTTGTGCTCTTGACACTTTTGAAGAGTATTGGTAAGTATTTTGTAGAAGGTCCCTCATTTTGGGTTTGTCTGATGTTGTCTCATGGATAGATTGAGGTTCTGCATTTTTCACAAGAATACTGCTGTGATGTGATGCTATGTCCTTCTCACAGCATCGTGTCCAGGGTATATGATGTCATGTGTCTTACTAATAGTGATGTTGAACTGGGTTTGGAGGTTTCAGCTGGATTTTCCCCTATAGACTTACCATTTTTTTCTTTGAAGGTGATCAATATCTTAGAGATGCTTTGAAACTATGCATATATCTTGTTTTTCTTCAGACTTTTATCCACTAATATTTGCATCTATCAGAGAATCTTGTTACTGTGATGCTTGCCTGAGAGTGAGTTTCCTATTTCCCTCTTTCCTTCTGCGTTTATTGATTAGAAGGAGGGGGAGCTGTGTAGACGGGATTTGGATTTAGAGGCAGAATGCCACGTACTTCTAATCATTTTCTGGTCTTTTTTTATCCTCACCTGAGGATATTTTTCGATATTTTGTTCAGATAGAGTGTGAGGGAGAGAGAGAGAGAAACATCGATGTGAAAGGGACACACCGAGTGGCTGCCACCTGCACGACCCAACCAGGGCCGGGGACAAACTGCAACCGAGGTACATGCCCTTAGCGGGAACCGAACCCGGGTCTCTCTGGACCGCAGGCCGACACTCTAACCGCTGAGCCAAACTGCCCAGGGCTATTTTCTGGTCTTTTGATTCTTCAGATAATTAGTTTAATACCTGTATTTTAAAAATGTTTTTATTGTTCTTATCTAAGTAGTTACATTTTATTAATGTTTATGTAAAGACATTGCAAGCACATATTATTACTAAATATTTAATTATAGGCAAAATGAATGACTCAGTTTTATAAATGAAAAAAAAAGCAATGACCGATTAAAAAAACACAACTGAAAAAATGTTTAGTAAAAAAAAAAACTGCTTGATATTAAAAGGGGCACAGCCTACACGTAGTCCTTAAAAAATTACTAGCTCTTTGTTTAGCTTTTGAATGTCTAGCAGTAAAAATAATACTGTTGATGCCTAGTCATGAATAGATGATGGAGCACATGTAAGTTCTGTATCAGGAGAACTTTAGTATTAGCATTTCTTGGCTTTTGTATGTGTGCATTGTGAATTGGAGTGGAATTACAGAACTCAGTATATTTAGCATGAGCTCGGCAATTTTCACTGTCCATAGTTATGCAGGGTTTGCCCACAGTGGTGAGTCAACAACAACAGCAAAAGCATTGAATTGCAGCTGGTTCATTTCTGAGTCAGAGACAAAGTCACTTCCCAAGATTGGTATCTCTAGTTTTATTAAAAAATTGTCGACGAACATTATTTAGATCAGAGCTTAACAAACTTTTTCTGTCAAGGGTCAGAGAATAAACATGTTTGGCTTTGTAGGGCATTGTCTTCGTCACTATTACTCAGTTCTGCTATTGTAGTGTGAAAGCAGCCACAGACAACATGCAAGTGAGTGGGCAGGAGTGGGTTCCAATAAAACTTTATTTATAAGAACAAGTGGGCAGGGTTGGCGGGTATGGTCTGCTGATTCCCGATTTAGACTATAAAAGTACACAAACTCAAAATATCCATTAGCATTTATCCTTGTCCCTGATTTATCTCTACAGGCAGAAGACTGATCTTGGAAAATATGTATTTGGGAGACAGTCACGTTCTGTTGAATACCTTGTGCTGGTGCTGCCATAGGAAAATCTGGTTACACTCCGGGGACGCCTGCTGCCACTGCAGGACTGCACCACCTCGGCCCTGAGATGAGTGTCCGGCCTGAGCGGACACACCATGAATAGATACACAACGATCAAGCAGCTCGGGGATGGAACCTACGGTTCCGTCCTGCTGGGAAGAAGCATCGAGTCTGGGGAACTGATTGCTATTAAAAAGTAAGTGTTAGCCTTCACACTCATAAATGCATCCTCAGCTATTCATGGTCCACATTTATTTAATGCTGCCCTCTTCGTTCTTCGTTTCTGAAACATTTCAAAAGAGGAGTGCGTGGGAAGCCTGGAGAAGACCGTAGACGTTGCCTTCTGTGGGCTAGATCATCGTCGACTCTGGAAAGGTCACGTCAGAGGTCTTAAGCACATTCCCACTTTAGGTTTGCTACTTTGCACCTAGCACTAGTACTTTCTCAAAGGGTTTTCTCCTCTTGTGAGGTAGTCATGAGCAGGCTAATACATATTATTTCATAGGAAAGGCAACTAAAAGTAAGAAATTAAGTGACGTAATTTGGGTCATTTACACATATGGTGGTCTGGTGACCACTGTCTTGTTCCCCTGACCCCATTTGCTTTTTGCAGTCTGGGTTCAGACTTGTATCAGTTATCTGTTGCTGCGGAAAAGTTGACCCCAAGATGAGTGGTTTAAAATAACTGTCTCACCTGGCCAGTGTGGCTCAGTGGTTGAGCATCAACCCATGATCCAAGGGGTCACCGGTTCAATTCCTGGTCAGGGCACATGCCCAGGTTGTGGGCCCAGTCCCCAGTGGCAGGAGGCAGCCAATCAGTGTTCTCTCTCATGGATGTTTCTATCTCTCCCTCTCCCTTCCTCTCTCTCTAAAATCAATAAAGTAAGTAAATAAATAAATAAATAAGACAACTATCTCACAGTTCCTCAGAGTCAGGAGTCTGGGCCTGGATTAGCTGAGTTCTCTGCTTTAGGGTCTCTCATGAGGCTGCAGTCAAGGTGTTGGCCAGGGCTGGGATCTCCTAAAGCTGGATTGGGGAAGGACCTAGTTCCGAACTCGCTCACTCAGTTGCGGACGCATTAAGTACCACCTGGGCTGTCAGATGGAGGGCCTCAGTTCCCCACTGGCTGTTAGCCGGAGGCCACCTCAGTCCCTTGCCACGTGGGCCTCTCCAAAGAGCGGCTCACAACATGGCACTTACTTCATCAAGACACGGGAGCCAAGAAGGCATTGAGAGTCTTCCACCGAGATGGAAGTCACATTCCTTGTTTTTAAACTAATCACGGAAGGGACATCCTGTCCAATTGCTGTGTCCTATCAAGTAGAAGCAAGTCATAGAAGGAGAGCGGGTTATGCCAGGTTGCGACCACCAGGAGATGGGCGTCTGTGGAGCCATTTGGAGCGTGTCTGCCACACACCCCTTTACATTCAGTTGCTTTCTCAGCATCTCCATTTGGATGTCCTGTAGACACTTCAAATTCATCACATCTAAAACTGAACTTATATCCAACATATTCTGCTTTTGCCCCCAACCTGTTTCTTTAGTATCCCCTATTTTGACAAATGACGTTGCCATCCCCTCCAAACCTGGAGTCTTCTTCACTTCCCTTCATGTGCCCCACCACTGGTCATCTAGTCCTATCCCTTCGAACTGCTAAACATTAATCGGATCTACCTGCTTCTCTGTGGTCCACTGCTAACCTTCCTTTCAGCCCACGGTCATTTACCACCTGTGCTCCCGGAATAATTTCCTCTGCTGGGTTCCTGGCTCCCATTCTTACCCCCATCCATTCCAGTCTGAAGGGATTATTTTAAACACATGAATCTAACCATTTGTGCCAAATATTCTTTGTGTCCCTGCTGTCGCATCATGTCTTCTTGTCCCACCTGACTTCACCGCGCTGTGTGTGCAGTGCTGTGTCCTCCACCAGCGTCCCAGCACGAGTGCACGCAGGAGACTCAGCCAGCGTGCTTTCTATGCCGCTCCTCAGAAGGTCCCCAGCAGGACTGCGCCCCAGCCCATCTTGTATCAGCTCAGCATTGCTCCTTTTAGTGGATTCCCTACCTCTCTGTTTCCAGATTCCCTGCTCCTTGCCCTGGCTTCCTAGAATCATCTCCTAAATAGACTACCTGCCCTTGAGTGGGTTCTTGCCTCAGGCTCTGATTTCAGAGTCTTCATATCTGTTTTAGGATCAAGCCCCCAATTTTTAATGTGACCGTGCGGCAGCTGCCTCCTTCAGCCCTGCCGGATTTCGTCAGCCGTATCCCCTGTCACTACCCTTTCCCTACTGTGTTCTGGCCTCTCTGGCCTTTCACCTTCTTGAACTCACCAGATACCTTTCTGCCCCAGCCTTCACGTGATCTTCTCTCTCCCACACCTCCTGCCAGACTAAATTCTACTCATCCTTCAGGTCTTGGTTGAAATATCACTTCCTTAGGGGAATGTTCCCTGCTACCCCAGACTAGACTAGGTCGCCTTGAGGTCCACTCTCACGGTGCCCTGTACCTTTCCTTTGAGCACTTAGTACAGAAAGTGACTGATCACCTCCCCTCCTGCTGCGATGGCAGTTCCACGAGGCATGTCTCTCTCATCAGTGTATCTCCAGTGCCTGACAAAGTCCCTGCCACATAGGAGGGGTTAAGTAACATCCGGGGCACGGATACAGGAATCGGTCCCTCAACCAGGAGACAGTGCGACGTCGGGGGCGGAGTGTCAGAGTGAGGTGGAGAGATGAGGGTGTGTTTTTAGCCAGCAGTGAGGCCTTGGGAAAACCGTGTCATGTCTCTGTTCCTTAGTCTCCTCACCTGTCGCCTCTATTTCACAGGGCAGCTGTAAGACTCAAATGAGACAGTGTGACGTAAGTGCAAGGGAAGACACAACCTTGAAACGCGGGTTTCTGGTTCGCTAATAGGCTTCTCCTCCTCACCTCAGGCTCCGTACCAGGGACTGGCAAACTTTGTCAGCAAAGAGCCAGACAGTAACCATCTCAGGCTTCGCAGGCCATATGGTCCCCGTCACAGTCAGCTCTGCTGTTGCCGTGAGAAAGTCGCAGACCAGATCTAAATGAACGCGTGTGGTTGTGTTCCAGTAAAATTTCCCTCATGGAAACGGACATTTGTGTTTCAGATCATTGTCACACGTCACGAGCTATGTTCTTTTGATTTTTTTTTTATTCCAACTCTTTTAAAATAAAAATGCCATCTTAGTTCATGGGCTTTACAAGAACAGATGGTGGGGTGGAGTTGGCTCATGGGCCACAGCTTGTCAACCCCTGTACTGGAGTGTCTAGAACTGTACTGTCTGACATGGTAGCAAGTAACCATATGTGGCACTGAAATGTGAATTTAATTAAAAATTCAGTTCCTAGGCCTGGCCGGTTTGGCTCAGCGGTTAGAGTGTTGGCCTGCGGTCCAGAGAGACCCGGGTTTGGTTCCCGCTAAGGGCACGTACCTCAGGTGCAGTTTGTCCCTGGCCCTGGTTGGGTCGTGTTGGTGGCAATCACTTGATGTGTCCCTTTCACATCGATGTTTCTCTCTCTTTCTCTCTCTCTCTTCCTCGCTCTCCCTCTCACTCTATCTGAACAAAAAATGTCCTCGGGTGAGGATCAAAAAAAAAAAAAAATTCAGTTCCTGTGTTGCACTAACCACATTCCAAGTGCTCAGTGGCCACATGTGTCTAGTGGCTACGATAGTGGACAGACAGAACATGTCCAGTGAAACAGGAAGTTCTATTGGACAGCTCTGGTCTAGCTAACATGGGAATGAGGGATTCCCTCTAGGACAAGGTTAGCTAATTAGAGATAGAGCAAGACAGCAGCCCAGGCCTCTTTGTACCACACTGCAGGTGACCTAGCATTGATGGCCAGATTTGAAAATCAATGCCATTTTGATGGAAATCGAAGCCGATTTGAAGCACTCTTCATTAGGTTCGGAATGAAAACATTTTTAAAGAATCAAGTTTAGCCTGTGACTGGGAGTAAGCAAATTATCTGTCTCTCTTTTCTCTCTTAGAATGAAAAGGAAGTTTTATTCCTGGGAGGAATGCATGAACCTTCGAGAGGTTAAGGTATTTATTAATTTAGTAGGGAATATTTTGTATATAGTTGATTAAAATAGTGTTATATGTGCTTAGATTTATTGTTGATATGCTCATTCTCTTGGAATTGTTTCACTGATGCCAAAAAGGGGCAAAATGATAACATGAAGTTAATAGCTTAACATAGAAGATTGCTATGCTATTAGTGAATATACTTGTTGGTATATTACTCTTAAGTAAATCACAGATTTCTTCAAATTTTCAGTAGCTTCCCACTAATGTTCTTTTTCTTTCAAGTTGTGATGAAATGCAAATAGCACAACATTTACCATGTTACCAGTTTTTAAGTGTATACAGTATCAGGTACATTCACGTTGATTTACAAACATAATCACCATCTATCTCTGGAACTCTTTTCATCTTGCAAAACAGAAACCCTGTACCCGTTCAGCAGTAACTCCCCATGCCCTGCCTCCAGCCCCTGGCACCCACCACTCTGCTTTCTGTCTCTGTGAGTTTGACTACTTTTAGTACCTCATGTACGTGAAACCATACAGTGCAGGCAGAACTCGTTTTATTGTGCTTCACCTACAGTGTTTCACAGATGTTGCATTTTGTACAAATCGAAGGCAAGACCCTCCAACCCACTTTATCGCCATACTTGCCCATTGAGGTGGGTTGGAACCAAACTTGCATTATCTCCAAGGTACGCCTGTATTTATCTGTCTGTGACTGGCTGAGTTCACTTAGCATGATGTCTTTACATTTCATCCATGTTGTACCATGTGTTGGAATTGTCTTCTTTTTAAAGGCTGAATCATTTTGCAGTGTGTGGGTATATGACATTTTGCATATACATTCATCCGTTGATGGACACTTGGGTTGCTCTTACCTTTTGGCTCTGGTGAACCTTCCTGTTCCTTTAAACTCTTCCTTTCCACTGGCCCCTTCTCTTTAGTCCATAAATGTGCCTGCCATTCTCTCTGGTCAGCCTCAGCCCTCTCTCCCCTTGAACGTCCACACCTTTCCTTTCCTCATCTTACCTTCCAAACAACTCCTTTTGCCGTCATTCCCCACCTACCACTGACTTTCCACTGAACCGAGCCAGGCATCTCCCTCTCTCTGCTACAGAAGCTCTCCCTTACAGTCACCAGTTGCCAAGTCTAGAGTCATTTTCTCAGGCACTTTCATGCCTGCAGGGTTGGGTGCTGTTGACCACTCCCTTCTCTCCTCTCCAGGGCTATGGGACTCTGCATTCACCCAGCTGTCCTCCCTCTTTCTTGCTTTTCACCGGTTCTTCTATGGTTCGCCCCGTAAATATCGGTGATTAATCGCATTCTGTTCTTAGCAATTTTTTCTTTGCTCTGCCTCTGCTCCTGAGTAATTTCATTCAACCCCCTTGCTTCAGCAACCTCACCAAATCTATCTTTTTTATGCATTAGAGCAGGGAGTAACCAATGTCCCACGTTCTGTTTTTGTGAGTAAAATGTTGTTGGGCCACAGGCATGTGCATTTGTTTGCATATGCTGACTTCATGCTACAAGGGCAAAGGGGAGCAGTTGCTGCAGAGACTGTACAAACTAGAAAGCTTAAAACATTTACTTTCTGTCCCTTTGGAGAAAAGTTTGTCCACCCCTGCTTCAGGGCCCTGTATCGAATTCAGTGCTTGAATTTTCTAGAATGTCTGCATCCCTGGTGCTCATATTTTCTCCCCTTCTGTTAATTATTCACCCAGAAACCACAGCTCCTTACAGGTGACCTGTGTGATCCCACTTTCTAGACATCTCATCCATCCTGTGTGCTGCTGCTGGAACGATCTCCGAGGTGTTCAGCTGCTCACACACTGTCTACCGTTTATTGAGAGGCTGTTTGGGGCCAGGGGCACCTGAGGTGCTTTACACACAGTCTTATTTCATCCCCACAGCTGTCTGATGTGGACAGTGTTAGTGTCTTGAGTTTGCTCATGAGAACAGCTGAGGCCCAGACTCGGGAACTTGCTTGAGGGAGACACAGCTCTAAGCCACAAAGCTTAGTTGCAAACCCAGGTTTGTCCGAAGGTTTCCGTGGGTACCCATCCGCCTGGCATCCAAACAATGTCTTCCCCTCCCACTTCTCCAGATGAGCTTCCTTTAGACCGGTCGGTGTGGCTCAGTGGATGGGGCGTCATCCCATGGACTGAGACATCCCGGTTCGATTCCCTGTCAGGGCACATGCCTGAGTTGCGGGCTCGATCCCCAATAGGGAGCATGCAGGAGGCAGCCGATCGATGTCTCTCACATCGATGTTTCTATCGCTCTCTCTCTCTCTCTCTCTCTCTAATAAATAAATAAATAAATAAATAAATAAATACATTTCTTTTTTTTTTTTTTTTAAATGCACTTCTTATTTTTCAGACACAGAGAAGGATACTCCGTTCTCACATGCACCCTCACCTGTGAGGGCTCCCCTCTGGACACACCCTTTCCCTCCCGCTGAGTTGTCTAGGTGTTACTGTTCCTTAAAGTCATATTCGTGTGCCACTCACTGACTGCTCAGGGTTCAATAACTACTACTCCTTGAAACATCTCTGATGTTCCTTGTCTCTGTCATTCCTTTGGCCCTTAATATGATCTTCTTTATTGAGTCACATATATTTTGTCTCTCTTCTACATTAGGTTGTTTGCCTCCAAAGGGCAGGCACTGTGTCTCATGCCCAGGGTATCCTTGGGGCCCAGAACATGGTACAGCAGGTCCTCAAGTGATGTCCTTTCCTTTAACATCTTTTATGTATAACACTGATATCTTTTAGCCTGTGATACCACTGGTTTTGTTATACATTGTTTCACTCTTTCCAAGAACCTATGGATGACACAGTACTTCTCGTAGTTTTGCTGATGGTTAAGAACCTTTATATGTGGGGATAAACTGCCTGTTCGGACTGCTGACCCAGGTTTAACCTGCTTCTCTGCGTGGGGACAGCTGTCCTGCCTTTTCCTCTCCTGTGTCAACCTCTCCTGAGATCAAATAAGATGCCTTTTTTCTGGAGAGAGATCTCTGTAAAAAGAGACACATGGAGTTCTCCACGCAAAAATAATTCTTTTCATATCAAGCTAACACAGATGGTAACCCGCTCATGAGCCTCGCGTGGAAACAAGAACTGTGAACCAGTTCTTGGGCCAGTAACTCACGCTCAAAACACACTGCAGGCTGACCGCGGAAGGTACCCTACTCCTTGCCTAGAATTCTCCTCTTGAAAAATTTTAGAACTTTCTTCATTTTCTTCTGAACAAATGTGCTGCGGGTCCACTGAACATCTCAGCCGTTGCTCGCGATGCACTTGAAGCCAACAGGCGGAAAAGATGTCTGCAGTCTGCAAGACTCCGGGGAACACGACTTACAAGTTCAGCAATGTTTGTTTTTGTTACTCATGAAGGACCAGGAATCCAACCCAACGAAAAGAAGTAATCAGCCCGGTTGGGTCATTCTAGAAGGCCCTGCCCATTTGGCCAGAACAGCTGAGGATTTCCTGCCAGAGGGGCGTGTTGGCAGGAGCCTGCCTTTCAGGGAAGAGGCTGCAGAGAATCTTATTTTGCTCTCAGTCCCTGGCCATCGTCCTCTCTCTTCCCAGCTGCTTGAAATCACTTGATCGTATCGTACATTCCCAGGCTCTCATCCCTGGGGCACCTTATTACTGAGCGTCCTTCCAGATTTGCCTATTAATGTTAACATTTTCCTTTTCAGACATTGCATTTGTTTATAAAAGGGATGTTCTTTTAAGGAAATTCAGAAATAATGAGGGCTTTACAATGTGTTATTATTGGACTCACTTCTCTGCGAGGAAGCGGCCTTCTAGTATGACAGGGCTCATCCCACTGGCCAGTGACCCTTTGAGACTTCCTGCAAGGAGCCAGTCTATCCAGTTCCAATCATCTAGTGAGCAGACCAGTAGCTGGGTATCTCTGGTTGCCGTACACAAACAAGATTGCTGCTCACCGTCGGCAGAACTAACGAGGCGAGAAGAAATGGTTTACACACGGTCGTACTCGTGTGTGTTCCCGGAAGAGGAGTACAGCGTGTACGCAAGGCTGAATAATAAGGTCATACGGCATTTTCTTAGTCACTCTAGTTCTTTGTGCCTGACTTTTTTTTTTTTTTTTTTTTTTTTTAAATCCTCATCTGAGGACATTTTTCCATTTTTTGTTCAGACAGAGTAGGAGGGAGAGAGAGGAAGAGAGAGAGAGGGAAACATCGATGTGAAAGGGACACATCGAGTGGCTGCCACCCGCACGACCAACCAGGGCCGGGGACAAACTGCAACCGAGGTACGTGCCCTTAGCGGGAACCGAACCCGGGTCTCTCTGGACCGCAGGCGGACGCTCTAACCGCTGATCCAAACTGGCCAGGGCTGTGCCTGACTTTTATTGCCTCTGCTGTTCTTGGAAGTGGAGCTCTTTCTCCCCCATTACTTCAGAGTCTTTCCAAACAGATTTCTCTTCCTTCTCCGTCGAACTCACCTTGCACACAGTGCTGTGTGTCTCGTGGACACTCGTGAACCAGATGGAGTTGGACAGAATCAGGCTCTCGGCCTCTGTTTGAACAATTTCTTGTTCATGTCTGCAGACTGTTAACTCACGATCTTGCCCCAAAGCAACTGCCTTCTCCAATACAGGCGTACCCCAGATATATTGTGGGTTCAGTTCCAGACCACTGCAATCAAGCGCATCATAATCTTTTTGCTGGTGGAGAGTCTTGCCTTCAACTTGTAAAAAAAAATGCAACATCTGTGAAGCGCAATAAAACGAGGCCTGCCTGTACTAGAACAGTCAAAGCCTCATCTGACAGTGGATTCTTGTCTCCACGCCCGAGGCACGAATCCTGTTATCTGGAGGGAATGTGCCTAAGGGAGGCCTGGCTCACTGCCTGATCCTGGCAGCTGCAGAAATACTAGTGAAGGTCAAGCATTTACCTTCCAGCCAGTTAATCAAGATAGTTTTCCACGTAAAGTTGCTGTCGATTTCGTAGGAAGACTATTACTTAAATTGTTGTTAACATATGAATTGTGGTATTTCTAAACTCTTTGGAAGTATACACGGGTTGCTTTTCTTTTTCAACAACAGTGTCTCTCTAACTCTTTGTTTTTCCTCCTCGCCTTTCAGTCTTTAAAGAAGCTCAACCATGCCAATATAGTGAAATTAAAAGAAGTTATCAGGGAGAATGATCATCTGTATTTTATCTTTGAGTACATGAAGGAAAATCTTTACCAGCTCATTAAAGAAAGGTGCGGTTTGGTTTTCATGATCTTAAAAATAAATATCGCGAAACGGACGTTTTTTCTTTCTGCTTTTTTTCCCTCCCCAGTCACGCTCCTTAGGCTTTGCTGTTTAAAGTTGCCCATTGACAAGGGGCCCGATGCACATCCCTATTTCAGAGGCCTTGCGATAGCTTCACAGAAGCTAGTTTTTCGTGTTTCAAAGGGTTATTCACCCAAAGCTCAGATATTTAACAGATATTCTGGAGTTCTCCCTTCCTACAAGGACACGTGAGCAGAGCAACTACAAGTCGGGGGGTGTAGCAGCTTCATTCATTTTGAGACCTCCATCGAAAATGTCTGGGTTTATTTCATTTCCTTTCTTGCCACAGTGCTCAGGGGCTTGTGTGCTGGGCAGAGGCGACCGAGAAAAAATTGCCTGCTATGGTCATTGTGAACCTTAAAAGCGAATCATGTAGAACTTCTTGGGCACATTCTCTTGGTGGCAGATGAGAGCCATTCCCAGCCTCCCTCTGATTTCGGTGAACAAGAATTGTCCTCATTGTCAATAATAGTCATGAAGCTGCATGGTTTGCCCAACCGGGGGGGAAATGTGCTATCTGCTACATGTCATAAAGCCTCACATTTTCCCCATTAAAATTGTCCAAAGTTTTCATTTATATTATGGAGAGAGGAGATTTTTGTATGCTATGTTAGAGGGAATTTTGTTGGGGGCTTAACTATAATATATTTCATCATTGCTTCTTTGTAACAGAACTGAATATATTTGGTATGTATAAGGTAGCTCTCCTGTATGGATAAATGGTTGTTTTCCTTTGCTCTTTATTATCAAAGGATCTGGACAAATTAGCATGTGAACAAATGTTTTCATAAGTTCTTACCATATAACCAAAATGAATCCTGTTTTCATTTGTAAATCTAAGTTTATAACTTTTTGCTTCTGATCCATACAGAAATAAGTTGTTTCCTGAGTCTGCTATAAGGAATATCATGTTTCAGATACTACAAGGACTGGCATTTATTCACAAACACGGTAGGTGATTTGGGTTATTGTTCTTTTGCACAGCAGTGAAATGTCATCCGGTGGATGTAGAAAACATCAGTGTCTTTTATTATCGATTCCCAGAAATGGTTACAGATTTGACAGGCTGACAATGGATTTTGGAACACATTATCTTCCATTTCTTGATTTCTGAATGTTCCTCAGTATGTATCATGTCTGTGTGTTCTTATTCTTTAGGCTGTAACATTGAGCTTGTTGGTTATAGATCTAAAATTATTCCTGACCGTTAACTGGTGTATTAATGAGAAACCTAAGATTAGAATTAAGAGTAGTTTAACCCACTGACTTCTCATTTTCCTAATGTGTTTATATTTCAGTTTGTTCATAAAGGTTCAAGATTTATGCAACAGAGGAAAATAAATTAGCAGAGAATGAAAAGGCAAAGGCAAAACAAGCTCTGGATGTAGCCAGGGGCGAGGTTAAGCTGCAAAATGCATATCAGCATGTTTCATCTAAGTGGAAGAAGTGGGTTACAGATTTCATTCTGAGCTTGCTTTCTGACAGTGCAAAATGTGAAACATGATCAATTACAACCTACAGAGTTTCCCTGAGGTACAAACAATCCAGTTGCCCCAGATGGGGCAAACTGTACTTGGTACTGAGACCAAAGAGGTTCTCTTATGTGTCCTTGTAGAAGGGACAGTATGTGAAGGGACTCCAAAGTGAACACAGTAATAGGTTATTGGATAACTTTCATGTCATATCCCTCATTACAGGACAATTGTATCACCTGATCAGAGAAAACAGTTCTCCTGAGGCCCATTTAGGGTTGTCTGATGAGTCCAAGGAAAGATGAGAGTATCTAGAGGAATGGATGGCCGCACACCCTTCAGGAAATCCTCTATCACTACTGCTCTTCTTAGTGGAGCTTTTGAAGGATATCGAGTAGCAGTGAGTTTAAGGTTGTATTTTCCAGCAAGTACCTGAGACATTATTATTAGTCTTTGTTACTAACTGGACGAGACCCACCTGGGGTTGGATCCATACCTTCCAGTGAACACAGAGCTGCAGGATGGATGTTCACCAGCCGAGCCAGGTGGCCCCTCAGGCGGTCATTTGAGGTCACTTTAGTATATAGATAGATGAGCAAAGCGGCTGATCTTGCACAGGCAGAAATCCATTCACTCCCAATCTAAGGATATTGTTGCCATTGCAAATACTGCACCAACCAGTGAATTTCGTTACCCAAAAAGGAAACTGAGTGGAAACCCTTTGATCATACAGTCGGTTCAGACTGGACAGAAATCAGTAGAGAGTAGAAAAGACCACATGCAACAGCCTGTGGCACCTTCCGTCTGGGATGCTCCCAGCCTATCCTTTAACCCCACCAGCCTCTCAGAGTTAGCCACTGAATGAGATACAAACAACAGACTGAGGCTATCTGGGCAAATTTGTGTCAGCCTCAGGCATGTGCTGTTGTAATCAGGAGTAATTGCAAGACTGAGACCCATTGTGAACCAATTCCAGTAAAAAGGACTTGGTAAAAGGTGTTTGATTCTGCTGATTAGCCTGTAGCCAACCAGAATTCACAACGATGGTATGAATTTGCAAAACTCGAAAAACTTGTAGTGAGACATTAGGGACAAATAAGGGGGAAAAGAGTCACTTACTAGATGTAAGAGCCCAGGAAATCTAAGGGACAAGAAATCAAAGAGATTCTCAAAAGAGAAAGTCAACCAGAATGTTTTTCAAGTAGGGACCGGCCATAGCAGCTCAGTTGCCTGGGCTACTTGCTCAGTGCTGGAAACTGAGTGGGGACATAAAAGAAAGTGAATATTCTTGGTCTTTCTCTTCCTTTGCTTTTTTGCTGCTTTCTTGAGGCTCAGATATTTGTTGCCAGAAAGAGCATGTGGCCTTTTATACATCAAATGAATACGCACATGTCCCCTCTTACATGTGCATGCACAACTACATATACACATATGCACGTGTACATGTATCTACACATACATTCCTCTCCCTCATGCATGCATGCACACACATAAATGCACATGTATATGTGCACACTCAGTACATATTTGTATCTGATAATTTAGCATCTGTATACTGTTGCATCAAAACAGCTCTGGGGAACTCTGTACTGTCAGTTTCCTTACGCACCTTAGACACTCAGACTGAATGTGGGAGGCTCGGTTTATTGAGAAGGTCAGACCACCTTTACTGTGTAGCCCCAGCACTGTTGCTGTTACCAGAGATTCTTGACACTTTGCCTAGTTCTGGTTATAACTTAATGACATCTCATCCGTCACTTTATTTACTTCCATGCCAATTTCTCAGGTAGAAAGGATGGATGGCATCTGTTCCTCCCAAAGAGGTTTAGAGAGGTTTGCAGACCAGTCAAAGGTCCCGCTGCAATGAAGTGGTAGAGCAGAGGTGAGCTCAGATACCTGTGCCCATTTGCCACGCTTCAGTAGGAAAACCTGTCTGTTCTCAAAGCGAACAAGATAGTAAAAGATTAAAAAAATATAATGATAGTAGTTGTAGGTGGATATTAATTTTACAGGTTTTACCTCGTTTTCATTTAGTGAATGTTTTTTGGTACCTTTTTAATAGTACTTATATAGTATTGACTTGACTTCGGTTAAGTGCACATGTAGCCCCATATTACTTCTTTTTTCCAGTCATGGAAAAAAATAGCCTGAAGTACTATGGAGTACTGTCTCGTGAGTTTCAGACCTCTCCCTGCGAGCGGGTTATCACTGTGAGAAGGCGCGTTCTGTCCCCGGGGAGTAGACTCCTTTGAGAGGGGAGGGCACACTGAAGGTAGTTGCTGTGGTCATAGTTCATGCCACTGAGTTCTTTCCCCACACCCAGAGTGAAAACACGATCCTGCTTGGGCCTGACTGAGCAGTGCCAAAGTATGTATACCTTGCAGGAATTAAATAATTAATGCACACCGTGTTTCATCCTTAACCTACCCGCACAAATATTCAGGTCACACCTGTCCACGCCGGTAATCAGAAACGCATCCATTAGGTAGCTTGGAGAGCAATGCTTTGCCCCAAGACGTGGTTCTCTGCATCTGTGTTTCACCACTGTCTTCCTGTGCATGACCTTGAGTCCGCCCTTGGCCTTTCTGTATGTTGCTGTCCTTGTGGCCTTCTTTATAAAAACATTGAAGGTTTAAATTCAGCCATATCTGTGAAATGACACCTTCCACCATAGGTAGGTGTGCAACAGAAATTCATAGTGTTTGTCTTCTCCGGTCATTCCCATATGCTCGCATCAGGTTCATCATTAACGGCGTGTGGCAGAGAGGAGAAAGCCTTCTTTGTGGCTTGATGGTTTCCTTGCCCCAGGGTTCCTCATGAAAAGTAAGCACAACACATTTTCTGCCAGGATGAAAGAGAAAATCCCTCTGTTACTCGACTGGCAGGAGGGACCCTGAAATTAAATTGAAGGGCTGTTCCTGAATTATAAAAGCCAAACAGTTTTGAACAGGAAAGGTCTTACGTTAACAGCACGTTGCTGTTGCATGACCCCTGAAGAACTCAGCTGTCTGGGTTTGCGCTGTGAGTCAGAAGTAGGGGGGAGAAGTGGACTCTTGCTACAAGTCCCCATGCACACCTCAGCACAGCGTGAATCAGGGAGCAGATCAGAGTGTGGGGCCACCTTCTCACAGGCAGTGGGGCACATCGCTAGCCTCACAGCCTGGATTCTTATCTGCAAAAAAATGGAGCCGTGTCTGCCTGTTCACTCTACCAGGTTGTTGGGAAGAGAAAATGAGAGGCTTCATACATCTAGTAACAACAAGCTCGTGCTAAATGCTGCTGTAAAAGCTTTGCAAATATTAACACATTGAATCCTGCAAAACAACCCCATGAGATAGATGTTGTTATTTACCCATTTCACTGATGAGGGGAGTGAGGCACAGAGAGGTTAAGTGATTTGCTAGCCAGGGAACAGAATTGGAATTTGAAATTGGGCAGTCTGATTGGTCTGCACACTTAACCACTATGCAGTATTGCCTCTCTTGTGGAACTAGGAAGGTTTTGTTAAAATAGAGATGAGCTGTGGCCGATTTGGCTCAGCGATAGAGTGTTACCCACAGACCAATGAGTCGTGGGTTTGATTCCAGCCAAGGACACATACCTGGGTTGCAGTTTGTCCCCAGCCCTGGTCGGGGTCATGCAGGAGACAACCAGTTGATGTGTCTCTTTCACATTGATGTTTCTCTCTCTCTCCCCATCTCTCTCTCTCCCTCCTACTCTATCTAAAGATTAATGGAAAATTATCCTCGGGTGAGGATTAAAAAAAAATAGAGATGAAAAGTAAATGTACATTTACCAAGGAATACTTTTAATTACCAAGGAATAGAACTCATGGGCATACGGCTAATAATAGCTATTGGTATTATTCAGTAATAAAAAGAGCAGAGGCCTAAATTCTGCAGACATACTCATGAATGTTCCTCGTTATAAAGGCTTCTACTCGAATATATTATAACAGACAACATATGTCATCTGACAGATACAGTTTTCACCAGCCGATTTTAAGAGTCTGTTTGCAATTAATTTTTTCCCCTAGCCATTTTCCCTCTGATTGTTTATGTGGGGCCTGAAGGATGATCCATAGAAAAGAGAGCTGCCTAGAGGGATGTACAGGGAACTAGAATCTTCACTCTCCTCATTTCATTAGTGCATCTGTTCTCTGTGGGAGTCGAATTAAAGATGAGTTAGCAGTGAGGGAGAGGATAAAGCTTAACTGATGGGAGGAGGTAGTCTGAGTTCACGGGAGCACGACCCATGGTGGAAGCCAGGTACAGGAATACTGGTGTTTGAGCACAAGTCGATATGATGGGATAAACTGAACAGGTGATGCAAGCCTGTTGAGCTGGGTGCTGTGGTTGGTGGTGGCGGGGCTTGGGTTCTGGAGGACAAATGACTCATTATGAGAGAAATGCCACGTAGGTTTAGAAATAATCATTTGGCCCAACCAGAGGAGAAAGGGGGAGTCTAAAGGGAGAAACAGCATGAATCTGGACTTGAGGGGACCAAAACCACAAATCCAGATTTAGTTGCATGGACTGAGAGGGACAGAGTAGAGCTCCATAGTGTAACAGCTGAGGCACATTCTTGGTAGGATTGTGAATAATTCACCCACCCCCCATGACTCACTTTTCCCATCTGTTCAGTAAGAAAACAATGTCTTTCATTTCACTTCCTATTGGGTTGTTTTTAGCGCTCGGAGTTTTTAGGAAGAGAGACCATGGTCTCATGGTTCATGCATCTTCAGGGGCCACGGGAGCCTTCCGGGATGCACCGAGCAACAGTCACTGTCCAATAACTGCTTGTCCGTTTTCACATTCTTAAGTCAGTCCCAAGATGGGAGCACGCAGCCAGGCCTTCTGGGAGCTGGAGGGTGCTCTGAAGAACACAGGGTCCAAACACAATGACTCAGGGACACTGAGTCTTAGAATGGACCTCGCCCACTCTGGTGGGCGTTGATCATCTTTATTTAATTAGGCTAAGAATAAGCCATCCAAATTTGTCCGCGTCAGAAATGCTTCCTTTCATTTTAAAGGCCATTTTTGACTAATACTGAATTACTGATTGAATTTAAACCAGCCTCAAGTTTTCTTTCTGTAAACCTGAAGTTTAATGTACTCTTAATTTGGTTAGGATGCTTAAGGAATTGGTATGAGGAAGGCCATTGGGTATATATTGGTACAGTGGCCAGATAAAGAGTGAAGCGATGATTATGTCCTAATATAACCCATGTGGAGCTTGACCTAGTCCTGAGCCCTGGTGTCTTCAGAATGATGAACATAATACATGACATCTAGTGCGGTTTTCACATACAACCACATTACAGTCACCCACCTCTTCCTCTAGAACAGAAAGGCGTTTGGGAAGGTGACCCTGACTAGTAGATTTATTTCTGCTGGCGCGCCCTCTGTGATGAGGACTTCCTGCTCTGAGCCCTCAGTGTCTCCCACGTGGCGTCAGGGGCATTGCTCTTCTCTCTCTGCTCGGCTGCTGTCTTGTGAGGCTTCCTTCCTCCCGTCCTCCCAACAGCCCTGGTCTGCTGTCTGTTGCCCCTGCCGACTTGGCCCAGGTCTATTTGTCACTATTCAGTTGCTTCATGTTCCCTACAATCCTATTCAAGTCCTTGGTCAATCAGTAAGAATGTTTTATGAGGCCACCATGCTCCTGCCACGGCGTTAGCTGTTCAAGAGAGATGTAACTGTGGCCTCTATCCTTAAAGTGCTTCATCTGATTATTGAGAGATGATGTAACATATCGGAAAAGGATAGCACTCTGCTCAAGTTTACAGGGGAGGGCCTATGACATCCACCAAGGCAGAAACCATGTCCATTTGGGTTGCTTCCGAATCCACAGAGCCTGACCCAGTGCCTGGCATGGAGTAGGCCCTCCTGGAATATTTATTGGTAGAGTGAATGAATGAATGATAGCATGCAAGCTAACATTAGAATGGCTTCATGGATGGAAGGGAAACTCAAAGCAAGTCTTAAAGGATGACAAAGATCAGGATTGATCTAGACAACATGTATAAGGGCACAACACTGTTAAAGGGAATAAACACAGTGAACCTCAGGAAAATGAGGCACTTTACCTGATTGGAACACACTTTACACAGATTGGTGGTGAGTACTGGATAACAATTTTATCTCTTTAGATAGGCTGAAAGGAGTTCAGGCTTGTTAAATACTTTAAAAGGAGCCATGGAAGGTTTATGTGTGTGTGTGTGTTTGTGGACGGGACCGTGACAAAGGAAGATGGTATTTAAATTACCAGGAAGTGTGGGACAAGCTGGAGCAAGGAAGACCTGCTGGGAAGTGGCAGTGCAGGGACAGGCCACGAGGGCTGGATCTGGGAGGGGCCAGTGAGGAAGGGCACACCGGACAGACAACCAGGTATTTCGATGAGAAAAGAGACAGTTCCATGACTGTCTGGGGAAAGATGGATGCAACCTAACTACAGGGTGTCTGGGTGTCTTATCCAAGGTTCAAGAAGGGAGATGGTTGGGAACAGGTCGATGTGGGGATGACAGTGACATTCAGCTGCTACCCTCAGAGACATAGGCCTAGAAAAGTGTGGAGAAGCCACAGTGAGATGCAGATTTGAGCATTACCGACATGGAGGTGGCTAAGGAATGGTGCAGCTCTTCAGTGACGGCTATTCGTGTCTGCCATAATGTGCCAGCTGGAACCTAACTTTCACACCAGGGGTAATGATAGCACATAACAAACAGAGTGAAACCTTGGTTCTCAATCGTCTCCCATCTCGAACAGTTTGCTTCTCAGCCCCACAACCCTTTCCTGCCGATACCTGTATGGTCAACCACGCGTCTCTCAGGCGACAAACAGAGGAGAGAATGTGAGAGTAGGAGTCAGTTTCCTGCTAATCCACACGTTACCATCTCAGGAAATTGTGCTCTGAATATTTTCGTGTTCTTTTGCTTTTTGCTTTTGTTGCTGCTTGTTATTATTAAATTTTCTTTTCTTTTCTTTTCTTTTTTTGTTAATCTTCACCTGGGGATATTTTTTTCCATTGATTTTTAGAGAGAGTGGAACGGTAAGAGACAGAGAGAGAAACATTGATGCAAGAGAGACACATCAATTGCTTGCCTCCCACATGCACCCTTACTGGGGCCAAGAATCAAACCTACAACCCAGGTATGTGCCCTTGACTGGGAATCAAGTCCAAGACCCTTCAGTGCATGGGCTGACGCTCTAACCACTGCTCAGGGCTATTACATTTTTATTTTTTTACTGTACAGTTCATTTCCTTTTTGTTAAATTTTCGTTTACATGTCACAGCCTTTTTGTTTTTAAGGTGTTTATGTATAGAGTAAATTATACAGTTAGACATGTGTTGTATATAAGAAGGTTAAAACCGAATTATATGGGGGTCTGGAATGGATTAATTCAATTTACATGATTTCTAATGGGAATAAATGAACCACCTTCTGGAACAAATTAAGTTCGAGAGTCAAGGTTTCACTATAACTCCATTAGCAGCATTAATGGAGTTGTATTTCCAATTTGGGTGTTCTATTAAGATTAGGGTCACATGCAAGATATCTGTATCAACTATGCTCTCTGTAAAGGGGGTTCTGGGTTTTCAGAGGCATGTTTCATTGATCAGTGGGTGTTTGAGTGCACCTGGAAGGTTGGCATGTTGAGTGTCTCCTGCATGCACCCCCAAAGCTTTGCTGTAGCTGAGACCGGCTTCCCAGTTGGTGAGTTAACTTTGCCTTTCATGACGTGGGCTGCAGCTATACAGCTGTACCTCTACTTCTTCATTAGGCAAACGAGCATTTAACATTTAAACATCTGTTGCAACTCACACCTGAGCTCTCAGCTATGAGTAATTCATATTCATAAATCCCTTGTTTCTCGAACCAAAAAACTGTAATCGTGTTTCTGCTGTGGTATAAATTCTCAGTACCCATAAGATTGGTCTTTTGAAATGATATTTTCCCCTTGAATGACAGTTTCGTTTTGCAAAGTTATCTCAGCCCATAACTGAGTTTTGATATTTTAAAAGAGGTTTTCTGTCTTGGAAAAAAATGATGAAGCTCGCTTTGGAATAATTTTACATTTTGAATTCATCAAAGGGAAATGAATGAAGTCCTTTGAGGTCCCAAGGACTTTATTAGTGGGATGAATGTACAGAGACTTCAGTGCCATACCTGAACTATAATTCAGATTATAACTGTTGAGAAAAGAGCCATACAGCTGCAAAGCAAGTCATGCAGAAGCAAGCAATGCATTTGGGTTCCTTCTCCACTTTCTCTCCAGGCTTCTTCCATCGGGACCTAAAGCCTGAGAACCTCCTCTGCATGGGGCCGGAACTTGTGAAAATTGCAGACTTTGGATTGGCCCGAGAGATCCGATCACGGCCTCCGTACACAGATTATGTGTCTACTAGATGGTGAATACCATTTTCTTCAAAATTATTTCATCACATTTCTGTAAAACTATGTCATTATAATGAGGATGATATGAATGTCACACACATTAACTTTTCACTAAGAGAAACAGTGCAGTTTAAAACATATTTGCAAGAATGTTGGCATTGTGCAAGGTTTAAGAACTTGTGTGGTAAATAATTTTCAAAGGAATCCCATTATCCTTTTCCATAATATAAATACTGTGTTATAGACCTTCCTAAAGATCATTTACAAAAGAGTTGCGTAAAAGATCTCTCCAAAGACCTGTCCGAATAAACAGATTAACTGCTATTATTGAAAGTTTCAGAGCCTAAGAATTTGATTTAAGCCGTTGGCCATGACCAAGAAGTAGCCTACAGACAAGTTTGATGTTTGCTCTCTCCCCCTACTCTCCGCTCTCTCTTTTCCTTGCTTTTATTCCCACTGTTTGTGTTTCTCAAAGAAGCTGCAGAGAGGCGTCCTGTAGAGACTGCTCGGGAGAACGCACCCGAAGACAGAGACGCTCCACTTGCAACAGCAGCCACCGCAGCTGCCAGTCTTCACGGGTGCCACCCTGACTGGATGGAGACGGAAACACATGACCTTGTTCACTGAGAGCTGATGATGTATTTAGTTTGCTCCGACCAGTGGAAGCAGTAACAGGCAGTTCCTCGTTGTCCCTCCAGGTACAGGGCTCCGGAGGTGCTGCTGAGGTCCACCAACTACAGCTCCCCCATTGACGTCTGGGCCGTGGGCTGCATCATGGCAGAAGTGTACACCCTCAGGCCACTCTTCCCGGGGGCCAGTGAGATTGACACCATCTTCAAAATTTGCCAAGTATTGGGGACCCCGAAAAAGGTAAGCCGGCTCCCCGTGCTCCCTGGCACCGTGATCACCTGCTTCTTCTGGAATCTTTCTCTCAACCTCAGTAACCCTCCACTGCCCACGCTCTCAGACATGGCCCTCTCCCTCCCTCCTTCTGCTCTTACGGAGAAGACACTGGCCACGGCTCCTCTGCTTTTCTCTCCGGACACCTCACCTCCCTTGCAGAGTTTCTCTGTTCTCTCGGCTACAGCACTTACAAGCTACTCAGAAGTCTCCTAAATGTAATCTGTAGCCCTTACTTCCCTCCTTTGTAAATCCAGTCACATATTTACAACCATCTGTGAGATTGTCTCCTGATGCCCTCACCGTCACCTCAGGCTCAACACGTCTGACACAGTTTGACTTTTATTTTTTTATTGATTTTAGAGAGAGGGAGAGACATCGATATGAGAGAGAAACATCGGTTGGTTGTCTCCCATATACATCCCAGCTGGGGACCGTCCCTATAACCTGGGCATGTGCTCTGACCGGGAATTGAACCAGCAACCTTTCAGTGCACAGGACAGTGCTCAGCCAGCTGAGCCACACCCGCCAGGGCTCACTTTGCCTTTTTTAAAATTATTATTATTACTTTTATCCTCACCGGAGGACATTTTTGCATTTATCTTCAGATAGAGCGACCCCAACCACGGCGGGGACAAACTGCCCCTAGCAGGAACCAAACCAGGACTCTCTGGTCTGCAGGCCTACATTCTTAGCTGCTGAGCCACACCAGCCAGGGCTCAGTTTGCCTTTTTTAAAAAACTTCTTCCAAAACACACAAACACATTGGAGTGTTCAGTACTTTAGTTCACTTTTTTCTTTTTCTTTCTTTTTCTATTTGTTTTTGTTACAGATATTTCTCCTTTTTCCCCCATTGACACTTTCCTCCCCATCCCCCCTGCCCCATCCCCAGCTTTGTTGTCTATGTCCATTGGTTATGCATACATGCATATAAGTTCTGTGGTTTATCTCTCCACCCCCCAATCCTCCCTCTTCTGAGACTTGTCAGTCTCTACCCCACTTCTATGTCTCTAGGTCAGTTTTGTTCATCAGTTTGTTTAGTTCATTACAGTGATACCTCGGTTCTCGAACGCCTCGGATTTCGACCAAATCGGTATTCGACCAGGAGATTCAAGAAACTTTTGTCTTGGAATCCGAACAAATATTTGGAACTCGAACTTCCGAGATGAGCCGAGTTGAGCCGAATGGCGTTCATTCGGCCCAGCGCACCTTGCTTGTGTCATCAGTGTGAGTGCAGAGAGAGAGTCACGCTTTGTGGAGAGAGTCACGCTTTACACTGAATTTAACCCTTAGACATACTGTACACTTTTATTTCTTGTTGAGACTTATGTTTTTCTACATATTATATACAAATTAGGCCAGTAAATAGGCATTTTCTGGGGCTTGGAACGAATTAATCCAGTTTCCATTATTTCCTATTGGTTTCATTGCTTCGGTTCTCGAACAATTTGGTTCTCGACCATCCTCCTGGAACGAATTATGTTCGAGAACCGAGGTATCACTGTATATTCCACAAATAAGTGAGATCATGTGATATTTGTCTTTCTTTGCTTGGCTTGTTTCACTTAGTATAATACTCTCCAGGTCCTTCCATGCCATCTCAAAGGATAAAAGATCTTTCTTTCTTACAGCTGCATAGTATTCCATTATGTACATGTACCACAGCTTTTTATCTACTCATCTACTGATAGACACTTGGGTTGTTTCCAGATCTTAGCTATTGTAAATAGTGCTGCTACCAACATGGGGGTACATATATTCTTCCTGATTGGTGTTTCAGGCTTCTTAGGGTATGTTCCTAGAAGTGGGATCACTGGGTCAAATGGAAGTTCAATTTTTAATTTTTTGAGGTAACACCATAGTGTTTTCCATAGCGGCTGCACCAGTCTGCATTCCCACCAGCAGTGTACTAGAGTCCCCTTTTCTCCACACCCTAGCCAACACTTGTTGTTTGATGATTTGTTGATGGCAGCCATTCTGACAGGTGTGAGGTGATACCTCATTGTTGTTTTAATTTGCATCTCTCTGATGAGTAGTGATGTTGAACATGTCTTCATATGTCTCTTGACCATTTGTTCACTTTTTATACTTCTAAATTATTTATTTACACATTTTATTATTTTACACGGTCATTGTGATTTACTTTTCCTTTCAGTGTTACTGAGATATAATTGACACGCAGTGTAGGTGTAGTACCAGATTGCTTTTTGTTACCCCCAAAGTCTCCCTTCTTTCACTCTCCATTTCTGTCTGTGGTCCCATCATAACCCCAGAGCCCCAGCCTTGAGGCTGGTTCCGTCTCACCTTCTCTCTGTCCCTTCCTCCCCTCCCCCTCCCCCAAGCAGTGGGCCCTTAAATCCTGTTGACTATCACTGCCCAGTGTCTCTCACGTGGCTCTTGTCCTTGGAGTCCACTGCCGCCGTCACAGACTGGGTCGTGCTCGCCCTCTCTGTCTGGGGGTATCAATCGTCCTGCCTCAAGTCTTTTCCCTCCAACTTGTCTTCTGGTCTGCAGCCAGTTTACCTTCTGAAAGAACAGCTCTGGTATTGTCCTCCCCTCCTGAAAGTATTCACTGGCTCCTTAACACCCAGCCCCCTTAACGGCATTCCCTGTCCCCCACTTCATACCTGTAACCCCACACACACCACGTGCCCTGGAACCTCCACAGGGCTCTGCGTACCTGAGCTCTGCCCGATGCCCCGTCCGCCCTTCTTCCCCGGCCCCGCGATAATCTTGCTCTTCACTGTTCCTCTGGTCTCCTCTCTGCCTTCCACTGTGATCTGTGTCATTAATAGAATCACCTGTGTCCATACCTGCTTCCTGGATGTGATGCTCATTCAGGGCAAGGATTCATCTTGGGTTTGTTTGTGTTTCTTTTTCCAGGTCCTGGCACCATTGCTGGCACAGATCAGTCCCTCAAAAGAAATTACTTAGTCATTTGAATGAATTGTTAATGGCACCTCTTTGAGATTTCAGAGTCTCCCCTCCTCTGGATAACTGTATCTGGACCTCTCGTGACCCTCGTTACGTTTTATTCTGTATTACTATTTTAAACAAATATCTTACTGTCTCCTTTGGACAGTAATATTCTTAAGGGCAGGATTTATGTCAGATTAGTTTGGATACCCAACGCTATGCCTCTAGCAGGCTCGCAGTACCTGTCCAAGTGAAGCAATGATACAAGCAATTATACACAATGCCACCTCACTTTCAAATAAAGGCAGTTCCTCCAGAACGTGTCTTGTGAAATAGTGGAGTGTTTGAACTAGAAGGGACCTTGAAGGTGATTTGTTCATCCTTTCATGTCCTCCCCAGCATTTAGTGTCATAGGGATGATGGATGAAACAGTGGGGAGCTCGCCCTGGTCAGTTTGGCTCAGCGGTTAGAGCATCGGCCTGCGGTCCAGAGAGGCCCGGGTTCGGTTCCCGCTAAGGGCACGTACCTCGGTTGCAGTTTGTCCCCGGCCCTGGTTGGGTCATGAGGGAGGCAGCCACTTGATGTGCCCCTTTCATGTCGATGTTTCTCTCTCTTCCTCTCTCTCCCTCCCACTCTGTCTGAACAAAAACATGGAAAAATGTCCTCAGGTGAGGATAAAAAAGAAAAAGAAAAAGTGGGGAGCTTGAGAGTGGGTAGGACAGCTTTCTTTGCTGGACAGACTTCTCAGTGTGTGTGTTTTGAATCATCAAGGTGGGGATGTGTAGGTTTTGGAAGATTTATTTAACTAGGGACAAGGTGTTTTGTTTTATTTTGTCCCCCACCCCACAATATCTCCCTGGCAGCCTCTAAAACCTCTGTCTCATGGAACACCATTGGGAACATACTTATTTGATTCAACCCCCAAATATCAAGAGAGGAACTCTCTTGTGGTAAGGTTATAAAACCAGTCGGTGGCAAATCCAGTGCCTTCCCCACACCTTCCCAGACTTCATGTGCTTTCTAGTCTCCCCCTTAGCCTCCCCCGTGTGTCAGGCGTCACACACGCTGCCCCAGGGTGGCATGTGTGTGGTCTCCACGTGACTGCTTTTCTGTTACGGGCACACATGCCAGGATACGCCTCCCCATCACAGCGAGTTGGCTGAGCAAGGTTTTCTGCTGTTTCCTTCTTTCAGACTGACTGGCCTGAAGGCTACCAACTGTCAACTGCTATGAACTTCCGCTGGCCCCAGTGCGTTCCCAATAACTTAAAGACCCTGATTCCAAACGCCAGCAGCGAAGCCGTTCAGCTCCTGAGAGACATGCTCCAGTGGGACCCCAAGAAGCGACCCACGGCCAGTCAGGTGTTCTTCCGTGTCCTGTTCGATGCATTTCTTACGGAGTTCATATCTCCCTCTGCATAGGTCCTAGGCATCTCACAGGAAGTACTTTATTTGGTATAATGGGTAAAAGAATAATATTGAATACCACGATTGGTGTATTATACATAAGAACTAAGATAGTTTGAAAATGGCTATGTAAAGTTAAAGTAGTTAGCCCTGGCCGGTTTGGCTCAGCAGTTAGAGCATCAGCCTGCAGACCAAAGAGTCCTGGGTTCGATTATGGCCAAGGGCATGTACCTCAGTTGTGGTTTGTCCCCGACCCCAGTTGGGGTCTTGCGAGAGGCAACCAGTCAGTCAGTATGTCTCTCTCACATTGATGTTTCCCTCTCTCTCTCTCTTCCTCCCTCTATCCTTCCTGCTCTATCTGAAGATAAATGGAAAAATATCCTCGGGTGAGGATTAAAAAAATAAATAACTAAATAAAGTAGTGAAGGTTTAAACAATATAGTTGCTTTGAAAATTGGCATACAGTTCACATGCTGTATCACCATATATGTGGAAATGAAAACAAACATACATCTACCAGTATTTGGAGACTGTTTTCAAATATAGTGTCTGTGAGTTTGTTCACAAGGCAGTGCTGGTTGTTGGAAGGGAATTTGAAAATGTCTCGTGACATCCAGCTCACTCTGACAGGGAGCTGGGATAGTAACTGTAATTAGCATTTTATAGCACATTACAGTTTATAAATGCTTTCACATGTTTTTGTGTGACTTTAAGCTCACGAGATAGGTATCACTCTTTTCATTCTATAAGTTAGAAAACTGAATCTCAGAAAGTTTAAGTGATTTGTCCTCATCACTCATTTAGTAACTAGTTAGTATTGATAGCGCAACCAGCTGCAATTCAGTCACGCAAATGGCAGGTCTTCGGACCCCATACCTCCGGGTTTCTCTGCCTGCCCTCCCCCAGGCCACCTTGACTTAGATTATAAAATGCACCCTGAAGAGGTGGGGTGAGCTGTGGGCCCCGCCACTCTCGTGCCTCCTGCCAGCATCCTTTTGCATTAGTTGTGCCGGGTCGCTTCTCACCTTGCCTCGTTGACAATTACATTGCTCAGGGAACAAACGAGGTGACCAGTTCTAACCAGAAACGATGATTTGGCTAAGCAGAAGTGATGGTGACGTTTGGAGACAGTGCCGACGAGATGCTAGAATTTGTGAGAGCTGGAGAGGTGAGGTCGGGACTTGAAGACTTGTGGAAAAGCCGTTTTCCAAAGGCTCAGAGAGGAAGTAGCCGTAGTTTGGTTCCATGAGACTCTGGATGCTCACCAGGGCAGGAAAGCTCTCAGAGATGCACTTCTGGGGATGAAATTCACAAATATTCTCAGGGCAGGAGGAAGATTTCTGATTAATTCACTGTTCTCAAGGATGCACACAGGAGATGAAAACAGAGATTCTGTGATAAGGAACCAAGGGAGGAATGAGTGCTTTTAAGAATAGTGACAGAGCCCTGGCCAGTGTGGCTAAGTGGTTAGACCATCGGCCTGCACACTGAAGGGTTGTGGGTTCGATTTCCGGTCAAGGGCGTGTACCTGGGTTGCAGGTTTGATCCCCAGCTCCAGCTGGGGTGTGTGCAGGAGGCGATTGATGTGTCTCTCTCACATCAGTCTTTCTCTCTCTCTCCCCCTCCTTCCCTTCCTTTCTTCCACTCTCTCTAATAATCAATAGAAAAAGTATTCTCGGGTGAGGATTAACGAAAAAAGAATAGTGGCAGAAAAGCTAAAAATACCCCTGAATCAGTTGAGACTTGCAGAAATGGGACTACAGAGGAGACTTTACAAGTTAGATGCCAGGGTCCAGGACCTGTGCCAGAGTAGCCACATTGTTTGCCTCTGTATTTATACTTATATTGGTGGTTACAGATGTTTATAACTATGTCCCAGAGTGATTAAGAAAGGTTATGTTATAATGTTATACTCAGTGATTTTCATTCGAAAAGACCAGGGAAGACAGGGAATATTTCAGAAAGACTTGTAAGATTTACCCCTTGGCTATCTAGAAAACATGATTATGTTGAACAGCTAACAAGGCTCAGTTGCCAGGTGCTCTGGATTGGCAAGGTTCAGCTCGAGCATGTATTACACCCCTGGCATTCCTGGGGTAAAAGCAGATGTACCTGCTTATTTTACACTTGATTCTTCAGGGTCCTCCAGGATCACCGTGTTTGGCTCTTTCAGTTTTATATTACTTTTTCTCTTTGTATGGAATGAAGAAATGGGCTTAGAAAGGCGACGTATTATATTTAAGACATAGAGCAAATAAATTACAAGGCCAGGATCTGTGTTGAGCCAGAATACTTTTCAGAAGTAGCAAAGGTAATAGCAGTGTAACTGGCTGCTTTCGCCAGATCATTTTAAGTACATACATGTGATGATATCTTAGATAAGAAAAATCACAAGGGGAGTTGCAGATTCAAGGTGCTCTTTTATAGAGGGTGTGGCAAATGTAGGTTTACAGTTGAGGATCAGAAGCATGGAGTTTATTATTGTATTACCATTTATTACTTATTGTATTATTTTCCATACGAACAACAGTAAAGCTATGCTTGCCCCACCCTGTAGCTGGCTTGGGCTAAGACGCTGCAGTAAACCGGTCACATGGAATGTAGCCCCACGAGCCTGATGGTGCTAACCTTCTCGGCTGGACTCTCCTCCTTATCAGCCATGTATGTTACTGCAGGCGCTTCGATATCCATACTTCCATATTGGGCACCCTCTGGGCAGCACCTCACAGAGTCTTCTGGATTCAGGAAAACCACAGAAGGACAGCTTGGAAAAGGCAGCCCTACCGCCTCACATTAAGCCTGTCCCTCCTGCCCAACCCCCAACCAAGCCACACACGCGGATTTCTTCGAGACAGCATCAAGCCAGCCAGCCCCCTCAGCATCTCACGTACCCCTACAAAGCAGAGGCCTCCAGGACAGACCACCTGAGCCATCTTCTGGAGGACAAGCCAAGCCCCTTGCTCTTCCCGTCCCTCCACGCCAAGAACCCTCCGGTGGTAAGCAGCGAAGATTCACTAGTGAGCCTCATGTCTCCCCCGTTCCTCTTCTGACCGCACTTGCTGTGTGAACTGTTTTTTTTTTTTTTTAGTTTGTCCCAGATTATCAAGTCTAATTATAATCAATTTATCTTTGTGATATCATGGAGTTATGAAAAGAACTTTGGCCTTGGAGTTAAAGGGCTAAGTTCAAGTTCTGGCCCTGCCTACGGAGCACAGCGCAGTGGTGGTTGAGGGCTGGACGCTGCAGCCAGGTAGCCAGGGTCTCAGATCTCGTCTCTGCTACGTCATAGCTCGATGGCCCCGTGCACATTACCCAGACTCTCTGTCCTTCATTCCCTCCCTGTAAAATAGAGATAATGATAGCACCTACCTGATAGAGTTCTTTTAGGGACTAAATGAGTTAATGCAGGAAAGATTTTAAACTCGATAAAGCTGAGTCATTGTTACTAATCCCTGGGGACTCAGTTTCCTCATCTGTCAAAGATGATCGTTGCCTCTGTCTTGCCCACCAGACAGGGCTGTTCATGAGAAACAAAGGTCCCGCTGCTTGTGAAGATGTTTTGAAAGTCCCAAGGTGCTGCACTGGTATTTGTAGGTTATTGCCCTGAATGTCGTCAGTGGCTGCTAATGCTAGGCTGCTCCCTGAGCCCAGATCTTTCTTCTCCCCTTGGGCTGCAGTTCAAAAGGAAACAATGTGTTAGATTTAATCAAATAATAACCTGACAAGGGAGTCTAGTTACCAGTAGCTTTACATTGCTGTCTGAAAGTCTGATTTTTCTAATACCTTTATGTAAAAGTATTACTTTTCCTGGCGACTAGTATCCACTCACTGAGCACTGACTCCCAACTAGCACAATGTGTGATACTGCATGAGGTTCCACCGGTGGTGTCCCCAGACTGTTCGCTTTACCCCAGCCCGGGACTTGAAAGCAGTCTGTGTTTGGAAATTCCCTGTTATAGCTAATTCTGTAGTTAAATTGTATCCAGGTCTACCAAGAAGGCAAAGAAGGCACTATTTGTATTGTTTTCTGTAAAAGAGTGGGATGACTGACATCTTCGCTGTATTCTTTCTTTTACATCTTTATTTATAACACTGTAAATCACGTTAACAGTTTGGGATGTGGCCTGAGTGAGAACCCAGCCATCCTCCTCGTATGGGAAAAGTACCTTAAATTTATTTTATTTTATTATTTTTTTTTAATATGTTTTTGTTGATATTTTTATTTAGAGAGACAGGAAGGGAGAGATAGAAACATCAATGTGAGAGAGACATTGGTCGGCTGCCTCCTGCACGCCCCCTACTGGGGATCGAGCCTGCAGCCTGGGTGTGTGCCCTGACGTAAATTGACTGGGACGTCTCAGCTCATGGATCATACTCAATCCACTGAGTCACACCCACTGGGCTAAATCCTTTTTGTATGAACATAGTGTCCCCGTAGGATGAAAACCGACATAATCTGTGCAGGACAGGTGAGAGACAGAGGTCTGGGAATGCATTTGCCCAGGTTGCCCTTTCAGATAAGCAGTGCATGTTAGTGAATGTAATGTCCCAGGACCCTCCTTTTCATGACCAAGAAAGTTCAGAATGGGGATTACCCATGGGTGAGCTTCATTAATGCCAAGTATTGCTTTTTTCCTCTCCCTGTAAACACAGAAAACCCTAGCTGGGCTGGAGCACAAAAACGGTGAGATCAAGCCAAAGAGTAGGAGAAGGTGGGGGCTTGTTTCCAGGTCAACAAAGGATTCCGATGACTGGGCTGACTTGGATGACTTGGATTTCAGTCCATCCCTCACCAGGATGGACCTGAAAAACAAGAAGAGACAGAGTGATGAGACTCTCTGCAGGCAAGTGTGTGCTCCTGTCAGTAAACGGACTGGATCTGGGATGTGTGAGGGACCTTGAGTCATCCGATGATGCTTTCCCTCGCGTGTGACCTGAGCCACGTTCTTTCGATTCAGATTTGAGAGTGTTTTGGACCTGAAACCCTCTGAGCCTGTGGGGACCGGAAACAGCGCCCCTACCCAGACTTCGTATCAGAGGCGAGACACGCCGACCCTGAGATCCGTGGCCAAGCAGCACTACCTGAAGCACTCCCGATACTTGCCTGGTAACATAATGACCTTTTCTTTGGCCATTGATAAGAAGCCATTTCCCTGGATTCCCGTGTTCACAGAGATTCTGTTTGGGAAGGCCAGTGCTTGGGGCTTCTCTGCAGAACTGGTGGGAACGTCATAAAAATCTTTGCTGTGGCCCAGGCCTCATATTTTTAGTTTATAGGGTTACCTGAGATAAGAAATGTGGTACGGGAAACTGGGTCCATCCCCCATGGAGGGAGGAGCTGATAAGAGCCAAGCAGCCAGCCTGAGGTCTCTCCCAGAAATCTGCAGTGCTTGACACAAGTGGGAATGCGGGTGGTCTAGAGGGGAAGTGGCTTGAGGTTAAGGTCAGGGCAGCCCTGGACATTAGGGAGTCAGTGAGGGTCATTGATAGAGACTGGAGTCATCAGCACAGGATGGTGGTGATGGTTCAGGTCAGGTGAGAAGATGGAATCTCGGGGTACAGAAGGCAGAAAGAGGAGAGCAGAGAGCTGCAGGGGTCGGGGCTCTGGAGAGGGATGGAGAGGAACTTAGAGGACAGTTAGGCAGTGGTCTGTGCAGGGGGACAAGTAGGAGTGTCCAGGAGCACTAAGCCCAGGCCAGCACAGGAGGGGGTCAAGACACTTGATGTGGGAGAGATCTGTTGGTAGAGGTTTCAGACCCCTCTCTCAGGCCACCCACCAATGAGACAACATACTAAACCCAAAGATGGCATCCTTCCTTTTCACAGTCAGCTTTTACTTAGATTCATAGAAACTTTTTGATAAATTGGGTTCTACATTAATCTCATCCCTGAAGTCTGGTACATAGTTTGCATTTTAAAAACATTTCTTCCCTATTAGGAATAAATATAAGAAATGGCATCCTTCCGACTCCAGGCAAGGATTTTATTCCATCTAACCCATGGTCCAGCTCCGGTTTGTCTGGAAAGTCTTCAGGGACGGTGTCAGTCATCAGCAAGATAAATTCGGGTGAGTACACACAAGAAACACATTATCTGGAGGTGGCAGAGCGGGTACAGAGACGGGGTACAGCTGTGGAAACACAAGGGTCTTTCTGCTATGAAACCTGGCCCTCTTAAGCTTGTGCTCCTCTCTTCGCAGCAGGCCCTGGGGACTCACCAGCTCCATGGGGTCTGCCTTCAGGAGTATCTGGGGAGAAAAGCATAGTCTTTCTTGGCTCATGGGAAAAACAAAAATAACTTTAGAGTCTTACATAATAACGTTACAGGGTCTGACTTCCGAGGCACCCCCTCTGTGGTGGGCGACCTCCGGAAGTTAAGGTCTCCCAACTCCGTCTCCTTGCTCCAGCCTGTCCCCTCTGTCTGATAACCCAGCCCCAGCCAGGGCATCAAGACTTCTGGTTGGAAGATGGTTTGGAAGGCCCTCCCCACTAGTTTTTAAATGGGTAAATGAATCCCATAAGGTCTGCAGGCTGATGAACCCTGTTCCCAGCCGACAGTTTCCCACGGGGCTGTCCCCTCACACAGGCAGCCCTGCTCGGGGCAGCCCCCCTTCCACATGCCACGTACACTTCTGCGCTTCACCCCTCCCACCTCTGTCTATGATGTGTTCATTTATCTCGAGGAATACAAAAAAGAGGGAAATAATATGTCAACACCCACATACCCACCACCAGCTTGAGAAGTCAACTTTGCAAATAGACCCAAAACCCCAGATCTAGGCCTTCCCTCCTTTCCCCTCTGCCGCTCCCTCCCCAGTGCCCACATGATTTGGGCATTTATTATTTCTGTGCTTTTTAAATATATATATATATACACACACACACACACACACATATGAAATACATAGTATGATTTTTCATGTTTTAAAATGTATATGCATATAATCCTGACTCTCCACTCATTTTAATAATTATATATGTAGCAACTATACATATATGGAATATATGTCATATTTTATATCATATTACATATACAGTATATGTCACCATACAGTGTCATCATTTATTACTTCTAGACCGTCATTTATTTGTCCCTTCTCTTGATGAACATGTAAGTTGTTTATCATTTTTGCTGTTAGAAAGTGTGCTGAAATGGACCTTGCTGTGCCCTGTGTGGGGTTTCCCTGGGTATGGTGTGAACATGTCAGGTTAAAGGGTGTGCTCCTCTTCGACTTCACAGATGTTGCCAAGTTGCTCCCCAGCAGGGTATGGGAATTGTGCTGCATCCCTGATGCCGCTTGATACTGTCGAGATTGTAAAATGTGTGCTAATGTGATGGGTGTGAAGTGGCATTTATTGTGGCTTAAACTTGCATGCCCTGTTTACTAATGAGGTTGAGCATCTTTTCTTGCGTTTATTGACTGTACACCTTTTCCCTTTTGCGACTTTACCTGTTCAAGTTATCTTTTCCTTGTTCTTCATATCTGTGTGTTCACCAAAAATGCAAAGTCTGCCCCAGCTGACCAACACAGCTCCTCAGACATGCATTCCAGACCAAGGTTTCCACTGTGCTTTGCGCGATGGCCCAGAATGCTCTGCGCTGGGAAGGCCTAGAGCAGCTTACCACGCAGTCACTCTTTTCTCGATGACTGTAACTTCCATTTGCATAATGGCCATAATCACATTCTTCATTCCATGTGTAGCTTTAAGCCTTAATAATAAGGCCTATCAATATTCACTCTCCCATCCAATATATATCGATTTCTTGCTATTTGTAAGACATTTCACTAACCTCCTAGAATACGAAGATAAGTAACAGAGTTCTTAAAGCACTCTCAAGATGGAATTGACATAAGTGAATGTTTATAATGTATTTTAATAATGGTTAATTATTCTGATTACAGACAAGAGTACTTAGTGTAGAATTACTTTTAATAGCTAAATAATGAATATAACCTGTGAGTCGATGAATAAGAGAATGGTTAAATGATTGATCATTTAGCCATATTCTAGAATTTGCATACACTGTACATGGAAGGATAACTGTTCCATATTATGAAATGGAAAAAGCAAATTTCAGAACAGGCTAAGCCGATTATACCAAAAGAAAAAAATTCCAAATTTCCCTGTTCTTAAACAAACCACTCCATTCGGGTGTGGGCTGCAGGATCTGCACTGCCCCCCCCCCCCCCCGCCCTTTCTGACAGTGTGGTGTGCCGGAATGCTCTGCTCAGAATATGCTTTTATCCTAATTCTCCCCCCAAAATAAAAACCTAATTCTTTATTGTTCTGTACAGCTGTCCTTTAACCCTGTCAAGTGCCCAGGACTTTGCACTAACGAACGTTTGCTTTTGCCAATCAGTCGGTTCTGGTTCTACAAGTTCAAGCGGACTGACTGGAAACTACATCCCTTCCTTTCTGAAAAAAGAAGTTGGTTCTGCTGTGCAGAGGGTACACTTGGCACCCATCCCTGACCCTTCCCCTGGTAAGTTCTATTTTAGGTTGTTCATGAATTGATTCCACGAATAGTTGTTGAACAGCTGCTTCATAGCTGCAGGCGTGACAGGCTCATTGTAGGTCTGGGGTCTCCCAGTCAAGCAAGCGGACAGAACTCCCTGTCCTTGTGCAGCTTGTGCTCTGTAGACAGTAAGTCAACCAGATAAGATGCTCCTCAGTGCTAAGGAGAAAGCAACGGGCAGGAAGTAGGGAATATAGGGTTTGGAGGGTGGGGTACAGAGTGCAGTTTGAGATAGAGTCAGACTGTTGCAGAAGTGTGTGGTGTTGAGACAGGACAGGCCTGGCATGGTCAGTGGGTAGCAAGGAGGCAAGAGTGCAGGAGTGGTGTGAGAGAGGAGGGGAGTAGGAAGAGGCGAGGGGGAGAGAGGTGAAAAGAGACCGGAGGGTATGAGGCCCTGCAGCCGCCGTGAACTTGTCGCCATTGACTCAGCGAAAAGGGAGCCACTGGACAGTTTTGAGCAGAGGAGTGAGGTGATCTGACTTCCATCTTCCAGGCTCACTCAAGTGCTGGCTCTCCCTAGACTGAAAGGGCAGAGCAGGGTTGGGAGTAGCAACACCGATTGGGAGGCTAATTACCCAGGCAAGGGAAGGTGCTGGCCTGAGCTGGGGAAGTAGTGGTTGCATCGGGCCAGATTCTGGGTGTATTTAGAAGGCAGAGCCAATAGGATTTGTTGACACATCACAAATGGAATATGAGAAAAAGAGGAGTCAGGAATGACACCCATTATTTTTGGCCTGACACCTATAGAATCGGGTTGTCTGTAACGGGGGAGAGGGAAGACCATGAGTAGGAGGCGAAGTGCTCCTCTGGAATTTTCATTTTCTCGGACTTTTGTCACCAAGCTGCATTTATCTGCACCTTGTATGCAGGGCTCCTCTCTCAATCAGGTCACCTTTTCTTTCCACCGCAGGTTATTCTTCCCTGAAGGCTGTGAGACCTCATCCCGGACGACCTTTTTTCCACACCCAGCCTAGAAGTACTCCTGGGTTGATCCCGCAGCCTCCGGCTGCCCAGCCCGTGCACGGCCGGACGGACTGGGCTTCCAAGTACGCATCTCGGCGATGACGGGCAGGAAGCCCCCGCAGGGGACGGCAGGACGCTGTCCCCCCGCCAGCCGCGGTTCTTCCCGCAAGAGACTTGGGACGGTGTAAAAGCAAACACTTTGTAGTTATTCTTCTGAACTAAGACATTTCAATATTCTTTTTAAAAGTTTTTTTTTTTTTTAATATTGATTTCAATGCAAAACCCTTCTTTTGTACAAAATAATTTTATTCTAATACTGGGTCCCATTATTTTCTTAAACAGCAGCATTTTGTACATATGGATTATGTTTTAGCGTTTTATACAGTCAGCTTTGTAACAGACTTTTTAAAGATTGATTGATTTTCTTTTGGGGTTCCAGATAATATTTTATACAGATTTTTTAAAATGTAAAAATATTGATGCAGTATTGCCGCAGGGGTGAGATTTAAGGCTGCGCGCCAGAGGGTCGTTTATCCAGTGCACGTGGATATTTGTGAAGTGGTTACATTTTAAATGTGGCGCATGAGGTACCTCGGGCTCCCTTGGACTGACATCAGCACTAGAAAAGTGATCTTTTCAATGTCACATTCATGGTTTGATTTATTTATTTATTTTTTGAGACCGCTGTGCCGTTCTAAAAGTACTGTTATGTAATTCACTTTGCTGGGTGTTTGTTCCCCAGATGAAAGAACTCTAAGTAAATATTTTTGAAATTTTCACAATACCTTTATTGCTGTTAGAAATAGCCAAATGAAACCAGGCTTTATCATGCTATGCCATTATACTCTTTTTTTTTTCTTCATTTTTTGAAATCCAACTGTGTAAGTACCGACAAAAGGGAAGTTTTACAAGCCACAAGATTCTCAACGTAAAATTTAATACAATCATTTAAACCGATATCCATGCCAAGATGTAGGGCCAAAAAGCTAAGTTTCAAAGCAGCAGATTTTTTATTGTAATAACTGGTAGAATTCTGCATTCAGCTCAGTTCTCCAGGCCTGGCTAGGAACACACAACGAATAATCTTCTCTCCTACCAAAATCTCAGGGCAATTTGGGGAGCAAAAAAGACTCATGGCACAGGTTCCACTTATGTAGGAAGTCACAGTTACCGTGATGTTAGTGTCCTCGTGTGCCACATTTGAACTTTGAACTCTTAACCCTTGTGTAGTTTCTTTCAACAGTGAGAACTCTATTGGTTGGCAGTGGCTGTTCAATCGAGAATGTTTACAGCAATTTTGCAAATGACAAAGCTAGTTTGGAGACAGAAGAAGACAAAAGGTCCACTCTCATCCGGCTCTTTAGGACCCTCGTGGTTACCCGAAAGACAAGAGGGAAGGTCGCCTGCGGAGAAGGCAGTGTGTTCTCAATAGAGTGTTGACTCATTCTCCCAGGGCTCAAGCACTCTCATGAGGTTCCAGGATATAGCAAGCTGAACCATATGAAACTGTCATTTTCCTTGGTTAAAATTAATATTGGCACTTTGATATGGTTCAGCCTAATCGGTTGGTAAATTGCCACTTCAGTGTATTAATAACATGTTGCAGCCGGACCTGAACCAATTATACTGTGGCTCCCGACGAGCCCTAACCTGAAGTCGGGAGTAATTTCTGCTTTGGAGAATCCGGCTCAAAAATGTACTTGACCAAGCACTATGCTCTCTAGGGCTGGGAGAAAAGCACATAATGGATGTGGATTTGATAGGTACTATTTTCCTGTTAACAAACTGGCAGCAGAGCTTCAGCAAATAAATATGTATGTGTAAGCACAACTTGAACCTGGACTCATTTCTGTATTCTATTCTCCACCCGTTATCTAAAGCAACAGAAAATGTGTTTTCAGAGATGAGTCCTTTACTGAGGTTAATATTTATTTTCCCCTTCTGTGTTATGTATAAAAAGTAAGTTAATCTGTAACCTTACCCAGCTGGCCGGAAAGCTGGCTTTAAATTGTAAATACCCCTTAGAGAAGCAAATGGCTTGAGAAGACCATGTTCTTGAAACTTGACTTATGTTAAGGTCATTACGTTTTTCTTTAAATTGAAAAACCTAGTTACCTGGTTATTACACATTATAAAGTGGTTTTTCTAATACTTTTATAGGGCCCAAATCCAGAAAGTATTTCACTTTTCGTCCTCTCCCTCTCCTTTGTCAATAAACTATTTCCCCTGGAAAGCTAAACATGTTTATTCATATGAAAGTCAAGAAACTGATGTTCAGTTGAGAAAACTGAAAACAAACAAACACGTAAATTCTAAAGAACTGGCAACATTCTATAAAGTACTTCCCCCTGCCCCCAAACGGGTAAAGGACAAATTGTGAATACGAGATATTTACTTAGAAGGGAATAGTGACCTTTTTTTGTCGTCGTTGTTAAGTGGAAAACAAAATGCTACCTGTTGCATGTATTTTTTAATGAATATAGAATTCTAAGGTGTACTGCGAGATACCAAGACAAAGGATGCGTTGAACCTATCCATGACTATACCTCATTTCCAGTGGGAAGCTTTCCAGGATGTCAGGTAAACGGTACAGGGATGGCTCTTACTCGTGCGCCAAGGTTCAGTGACAGGTGTGCCAAGGTGTACACATGTCAAGTGCACAGGCACAAGGGTTGCTCGGTATGATTGTTCACTTTAAGTAAAATCCCATTGATTCCTAAGCCCTCACCCAGCTCATGTATAATAGGATTTAAATAGGAAGAAAATAGACTTTCAAACTCTTTCTAAGACACATCTCTTGCCTAAAGGACTAAATAACTTCTAATAAATCGATACTGTGTCATCTTCTGGAGTTTTCAAAGATTGAATACAATCAAGGCAGCACATGTCAAACAAAAAATTATTGTTTTGTCAAGAATTGTCAAGAATTGTTTTGGCAATACCAGTACTGTTGGAGTTCACAGGCACTACGTTTTCTCATGAAGTAGCATTTCCCTTCCGTCAAGCCATTGTCTGTGCCATTTAGGAGAGAAAAGAAAGCAGGCTATATGTTTCAGCTCAATGTATGACCAAAAGCAATATGTTTATAAGAAAATGTGTAACATACGAATTATATATCTTTTAAAGCATACTGTAGCAACTTGTTTGTTTAATATATGTGGTTAATTTTTAGAATTATTTTTACAATTTCCAACCAAAGTACTGTATTTTATATAATTTATTGTGAGGATCTTCTCACGGAAACCATTAAGAAGATATAAACTGGAGGCAAATATCACATTAATCTGTATTATTAGTTTCTTGTAGACGCTGTGCTAATGTGAATTGAAAACCACCTGAATATATAGTCTTCAGATCTCAGATATCTTGGCACTAGTAGAAATTTTAGTCATCTGATTTTATTACAAGGGAATATATTTATTTATAAAGCAAATATTCATAATGATGAGAAGATAGAGGACAGAAAACCACTTATGTAAGCCCCTTCTGAAATAAAATGTTGCTTTTTGAATAGTTCATCCTAAGGTGTTTAAAAATGTTAGTTTTACACTTAAAAAATTCTGCTCCAAATAAAGTTGTGGTTTAAGAAAAATTGATTTGAGTGTCAGTTTTTTGTTTTCATGTTCTTCCATCAAAAGATCACATTAGTGTTTCCTAATTGGAATTTTGATAGTTTATAATTTCTCCTTAATATATGTACATTGGAAGCATACACTTAGGGCTGCAGTATGAAGAGTTATCCTCCAATGTGGAAGTTTTTCTTTTTTAATTAACCTTTAGTAAGTTAGTTGAGTAGGGTTATTAAAAAAAAAACCACACAGGTCAAAACTTCTTGTTTCTGATTCCATCATGATTAATACCTACATTGTATCTTTTTAGCTTTCACAGTACACTCATGTGTACAATATAAACCTTCCAAAGAAACTCCTAACCTTATGAATGACATACAAGATTCCACGGGAAATTCATTTCCCAAACATTCTTTGAGTCCTTGACAGAATTTTGTAGGAACATGATCTACCAATCAAACTTGTATTGGTGAATCCCTAAATGTGTCCCTCATGATCAGAACACTGCTGACCTGTGTCATCGTAGCATTTGTCTAAACTTTTGGCACATGTGCCCTTCAGAAGCCCCGCTGATTCAAGCTCTCAGCCATTCATCCTGCTGTAAACACCTGCTGTAGAATACACTCTGATTCTAGCCTTTTATAGGTAAGGCCGATTTAAGCTAATTGTTTTTCTCTTCCTGGGGTGTTTACATATCAAGCTTCTCTTAAACTGAGATGTAAAGCTTTTGATTTTTGTTAAGCCAATTTTACATGCTACTGAGTGGGTGGGCGAAGGTTTAAAGACAGGACTTCCCAGGGCCTCTGAAAATATATCAGGTCGGTAGGTGGACACTATGAGTAAGACTGAGCACTCTCTCGGAGACACAATGAGTCTCCAAGAATAGAATGATTTCAGGGGCTTCCAAAGAATAAAAGGACCTATGGGTACCTGTCATAGAATGACAATTATTATAACAACTTTTTATTTTCCTACAAGTCTGTGTAATTAATACTCTAATGATACTGCCTTACTTTCTCTTTCAGGTAAACAAGATTGCTAGGATGGTGTGATCACTATATTATTAGGTTGGACATAGGAACGTGTCATTTTAGTAGGTTAGAAAAAAAAATAGTAAAGTACCAGCCATGTGAGATGGTTCAACCAATTAGAAATAAGGGGATGGAGATAAATATTTGACTTATCAACAAAGTCGAATAATAATTCTTGTGTTATCTAGTTCAATTAAAGTGAATCTTTGTAGAAAGTTGGGTTGGAAAAAATGAATAAAAAGTGATCACTTTCAGCAGGGCTGGAAAATATGGCTTCCTACCCACTTTAGACTGAGTAATCTCTGTGTTAGGTCAGAAGTAGATGAAATTGAACAAACTTTTTTTTGTCATAACAAGACTCATCTCAGTTTTATTTTACAGAGTAATGATTTGAATACATTTGGGTACAGTAAATATTTAACAAGAAATGCAATTGTATCAGAATGGGCATCAGAAAAATAGCAACTCATCTTACACATAATAACTAGAAAATATTTTTCTATCTGATCATTTAAGTGTTACAGATCCTGAAAATATGCACTGAACAAACTAGGTACTTTGCTTGGAAATCATCCTTAAAAAATGCTTTGAGGTATAAACATGTATTAAACCTGAATCTTTTGCATTATACAGAGTTTAAACAAGCATATCAAACAAAGTTCAGTGGCTCTTAAAACAGTTATTACGTTCAAGGACACACTCTTCCACGATTTCCCGCAACTTTGGGGTTCTCCATTGCAGTTGCCACTCGCGCTCTTTGTCATTTATCTGCGTGTTGATGTCTTCCTCTGTTGAGTGGGTGCCTTCAGAACTGTAGATTTCCAATTTACGTTAAAATGGTAAACACCGCTGAAGTTTCACTCTTAAGCACAGGCTCAGACTCAGTTCCTCTGGGCTCCAGCTGGGGGAGGCAGCTTGAAAGGCACCAGAGACATACAGGGAAGAGCTGAGTTGCTTGGCATCACAGTGAAAGCTGGAGGGGCAGCTTTCTCCTCCCAAGATGTACTGGCAGAGGCCTTTGCTCCTTTGGTGAGCCCTTCCCCACAGCGTCTGCAGAGGGGCGGCACATCTGGGACTCCAAACTTAAATTTGGAATTGACTTTTCTGACCCTCAGGCTGCCAGCTTCATTTGTTATTTTACATGCTTTCTCTGGATAAACTCATCCGTTTGCTGCCAGTGTGATTCATGTCAGTCCTCACTGGCTTATACAACTGACTAGTGGACATTATGAATAGGATGGCTATAGGAATGATAGACAAGTCTATTCACTATTTCCCCCAAACCTTGTCCTCCTCCACCAGGCTTTATAGAGCTAGGAATCAAGGAGTCTTCCTTTCTTCCTTTCCTTTCCTTTCTCTTTCTTTCAGTAATACTCTCTGAATATCTACTCTGTGTTAAGCATTATTCTAGGAGGGGGATATACAAAAACTATATTGTTGAAAATGTGAAAATTCCTAACCTCATGGAATTTACATTCTATCAAATCTACAGACAATAAAATAAAATGTATAGTATATTAGATGACAATAAATGTTATGAAAAATAAACAAGAAGGGTGGAAAAGGAAATGTGTGTGGGCAAAATTTTAGACTTCCTCTTACTCCAACTAGTAAATCCTTTATCTTACACCTCCTAAATATCTCACCTTCTCTTACCCATCTTCTTCAAACTCACAATGCTACTCTAATTCACAACATGTAACAGGTGTCTCTTTCTTGACGCTACGCTCCCCCTCCCACCCCCCTGCTCTCCGTCCCAATTAATTCTTCACACTTCTGCTCGAGAAATCTATTGAAAATAAAATCGGATGTGTTGTTGGAACTTATCAGTACCCGCAGGCTTCTCAAGCCAAGTCCTGTCAAGAGCCTCTCATGGGTGAAAACAATCAGAAACATCTAAAAAAAAGCTGCTTCTATAAACAATTTTGAAGTGCTTTTTAACTTTAAATTTCATGTAAAACGAAAAAAAATTTTAATTTCAAGTGTATTTGGGAAAAGAAAGGCAGACTGCCACGTGCAGCGCCTCATTTGGATGTGTCTGGAGTCTTGGAAGCTTGACTACCCTACGTTCTCCTACAAATGGACCTTGAGAGCTTGTTTGGAGGTTCTAGCAGGGGAGCGCAGCTACTCGTATACCCTTGACCGAAGACCGGTCCTCTCCTCTGGGGGGAAGGTCGTCCTCTTCGACCGAGCGCGCAGCTTCGGGAGGGACGAACATGGATCGGTTGAGGGAGGAGGGGGACACCCGCCTAGCCAGCCAGATCAGCCGAATCAACCCTGGCGATCAATGGGGTGACAGATGTCGCAGCCAGATCGCCCTCACATCCGAGAAACGCAGCTGCTCACAGGCTATATAAACCTGATTGGAATTCCAACTTTACACATAGGCCGAGAGTTTTACCAACCCCAGGTCTCTAATAAAAATTCTTCATCAAAGTCCAAACCTAACTAACACTAGAAAGGTCATTAAATCTCTCAAATTGCTAAAATTAATGTTAAAACTGGCTTGAATTTGTGCTGTTTTTATATGATCCAGAATGCCTTGCAGATGGGTGGGAGCATGCTAAACATTGCTGTTTCTATTGGTGAAATCCTCTTAGAGCCGCGCCCACCGGCCGCGCCCTCTCCCAGCCGCTGGTCCCGCCTCGCTGCAGGCTCCTCGCAGGGCGCTTTGTGCAAGTCCGGGTTCTGCAGCGGATTCCAGGTCTGTGTCCCTCCTGCCGCCCCCACCCGCCTTTTCTCTTCTTTTTGTTCCTGCTCCTCTCTGTTCTCTCGACTGCGAGTCTCTTACTCCACCATCCATCCCTCACCCCCACCTCCCTTTAGTCCTTCTCTGGTCTCCCTCCCTCTTGCTCTTTGCACACTCAGCCTCCGCCTGGGCAGACGTGGGCCCCTTGGCTGCAGTTGGGGTCATTCTTGGCTCAGTGTGCATATTTTTATTAACCCGCTCTGCGGAGTCTGAATCCGTTGACGGAAGGGACCAGGCTCGGATCCTCCCTGGACCGGGCAGGGTGGCTGCTGTGGCCCACCCTGGGCTGAGCGGGCACGCGGACGGATCACCCGAGCTGGTCTTGGGTGGCCGAGTCTGTGGCCTGGGCGCATTCGCACGGGCCAGGGCTCATCTCCCAGTGGGGGCGGGGGACGTGCGGGACCCCGGGGCCGCTAACGCGGGCGTGAGGATGGACGCACGTTTTTGTACTACTTGGACTGTCCAACTTCCAGTTTCGGTGACAAATAGGATGATGCGTGTGAAAATATAACGACTTGCAGACGTGCCAGTGAGTGTCGCCTTCTCCGCGACCCTCCGCGTCTGGCCTGTGCGGGTCGAATTTGGGAAATCGAACATGTTCAAGGTCAAAGTCCGGGATGATCTGAATCTGTGAAACACAGCGCTAGCACAGACGTCTTGACAACAAATGGCCCCAGCTTCCCAAGATCCAGAATAAATCATAAATAGAAATTTGAGAGCCAAGGGTGTTTTGTTTTGTCTTTAATGTTTTAAAATGGTGGAGGGTTTTAATGAGCAAGGGAAAACGCTGTAAAAACAAAACAGTTTCCAGTGCCCCGATCGTGAATATTCATTGAGCCCTTGGGCACTGGGTTGTGGACACAAATGAGGAGGAGCTGCTGCGTGTTTTTCAGAAAGCCTGAAAGACCATCATGGCCGAGAAGAAGCCCAAGCTCCACTATCCCAACGGGAGAGGCCGGATGGAAACCGTACGATGGGTTTTAGCTGCCGCTGGAGTCGAGGTACCTTATATGCTGTTTTTGATGAAACCATAAATGGGGAAGCCCTGAGGTAGCCCTCTCCCACTAATATTACAGGCATGCTTCATGGAGTCAGATTCCTTCCTTTCCATGGCTTTTTTTTTCTTTATAAATGGGATGTAGTGGATGGAATTCTATTTTGCTTTTAACTTGTACTCAGTCATTGGCTTCTGATCTACCACCAATAAATATTTATTAAAAAAGAGAAAAGGAATGAACCTGAAATTTGACAGTTACTCCCAGACTTTTGTTAATTATACAATGTCTCGGTAAATTTCTTGTCTGCATATTGGTATGCTTTGGCCCACAGTGTTTTGTTCTGTTCTTTTAGCTTCTTACTTACAGAAATTTTCAGGTAGGAACAAAGGTAGAGAGGACATTGCCATGAATTCTCTGTACTTTTCACCCAGCTTCAGAAATGGTTAACTTTATATGATGATTACCAGAGGGAAAGAGGTGTGGGGGGAGGTAAAGAGAGTAAAGGGGGGGAATAAATAGTGATGGAAGGAGACTTGACTTTGGGTGGTGAACACATAGTACAATATACAGATGTATTGTAGAATTGTACACTTGAAACCTATATAATTTTATCAACCAATGTCACCCCAAAAAATTCAATAAAATTTTTTTAAAAAAATCATTAAGTTTATGCTAATCTTATTTCATCTATCTCCTCCCCTCCACTTCTTTTGTGGGGGTATTTTAAAGCAAAATCAAAACATCATATGGATTCATCAGTTTTTATCTCTAAAAGATGAGGATTTAAAAACAGAACCATAGTGCCATTATTACTACCTACAGAATTAACAGTTCCTTATTATCATCTAACACTCAGCCTGGTGGTCTCACACTGGTCTTTTTATAGTTAGTTTATTCCAGTCTGGATCCAAATCAGGCCCGCACATTGCATTTGGTTATATTTCCTAAAGTATTTTTAAAATCTATAACCATTTTCTCTGCATTTAAAAAAATAAACTCTATATTTGGGAATCATTTTAGATTATAGAACAGTTATAAAGATAATGCTGAGCATTCCCATATAACCATCATTCAGGCTCCCCTAATGATTATATCTTACATAACCATGGCACAGCTAAGAAATGAACGTTGGTGCATGACTAAACTACAGACTACGAATTTAATTAGTGTTTTCTTTTACCGTTCCAGGATCCAACATTGTATTTAGTCATATGTTTTCTTAGTCTCCCTCAATCTGTGACAGTCAGTCTTTCCTTTATTTCATGACCTTGACAGTTTTGAAAGAATTGGTCAGGTTTTTTTGTAGAATCCTGCAATTTGGGTCTGTCTGATGTTTCCCTCATGATTAGACGGGGGTTTGGAGGAAGAATAGCACAGAGATGAAGTGCCCTTTTTATTGCAACATATTAGAGGTTACATGATATTAACATGAATTATCACCAGTGCATTTATGAATTATCACTTGGGCATTTGGTGAAGGTGGTGTCTGCCAGGTTTCTTGTGAAGTGGCCATTTTCCCCTCTTTTCTTTAGAAGCGAGTCATTTTTGGCCCACACTCAAAATGTTGGGAATTAAGCTCCTCCCCCGGAGAGAGGAGTATCTGTATTTGAAATTCTTATGTAAGGGAGATGTGTCTTCCCCTTCCATTTATTTATTTATTCAATCATTTCTTTATATCAGTATGGGCTTAAGTATATTTATTTTTTACTTTGGGTTGTAATCCAGTAATATTTTACTTTGTTGCTCAAATTGTTCCAGCTTTGGCCATTGAGACTCTTTCAGGTTTGCTCCTGTGTCCTTTCCACAAAGCCCCAACCCCTTTTTCCTTTTTTTCCTCCCCCTTCATCAATTTCTTACTTTCTGACATAACAAGATGCTCCAGGCTCTTATATTTTCCTCGCCCTGGCCCTAGAGTCAGTTATTTCTCCAAGGAGCCCTGGTCCCTTTTATTAGAAAATGGTATTAACAGCCAAGATCTGGGTGCTAAATGTCTTCATTTGTTTTAGTGCCATTTATTTGCAGAAGAAACTGTCTTGTAGAATCTCCCCCATTCTGCATTTTGTTGATTTACCCTCATTTTAACATGTTCCTCTATTCTCTATATTTCTTGCAAACAGCTAGTTGGATCCAGAACTGTGATCAAATCCAGGCTCCTTTTTATTTTTCCATATTTACATGTTTTTTTTCCCCCTGCCAGACTCCAGCAGAGGGATACTGTGAACATATTTCTGATGTACACCATCGGGGGTGCGTGATGTCTGACTGTCTCATTTTCAGCCATGCAGAGCTTGATCAGTGTGTTCCGGTGACATCAGCTGATCCGCACATTATAAAGTTCCCTCATTGCCCTTTCAAATAGTGGTTTTAGCAGCTGTTGATCATCACCATTGCTAGGGATTACAAAATGGCGATTTTTCTGTTTCTTTCATTTCATCTGAATTTATTAACTGCGATTCTCTTATAAAGAGAATTTTTTCACTCATTATTTAATTACTTTGAATGCAGGTCCTATAGGAAAGGCAAGATAAATGCTTGACAAATGCTTGATAAAGGCAAGACAAATTTCAGAGTAATGACTTGTTACCCTGGCAACCTCGAAAGATGACACATGAAGGTCATTGAGTGTGGGGTTTTGTCCTTTGTATGTTTGCTTCGGGTTTTGGTTTTTTTGTCTACCATTAACTCTCCATGGCAGTGTTTTACAGTGTTCTGAATTAGTTGATACTATTTTTATATACAAATGCTAATTTCTGACTTCTCTTGAGAAATTGTGAGACCTGGTGATCCTGGGCCCTCATTTCCACAGGGAGCACTGCCGACCTCAGTAAGGATTGCCACCATAGCTGGACCTTTCAGGCACAGTCCCCTCATTACCTATGGTCTCAGGACATATTTTCTCATTGTGTTAAGAGGGAGAGTGAAAAAATTCTTGGTCCTATCACCTAAACCTAGTCTGCCTATTTATGTCATCTGTCTTACCCTGTATGCTTCTGAATTTACAATTCTAATTTACTTAATACATTTTGCAATGGATGTCTTCTATGTGTATATAGTATAATCCTTGGTCACATCCTCTCTCTTCCAGTCTTCATTCTACCCTGCCCCTCTTATTCTCCTACAGTCCAGATTCTTTGTTTTATTAATGGAAACCCAACCCTAAATAAGTTCAACAACAACAACAAAAGAGAACACTGGTCACGTGACCTGCCTATCCTAGACCAATCACCGTGGGCAGGTGGGTGGGGCAGAATAATTAGCCCAGTGTGGGTCCTGGGCTGCCTCTCCCACTAGGGGGGAGGGAGCTTGATTGGTCTTCCTCACTGAAGTTGACCATGTGGATGACCACTGGTTTATTTATTTATTTATTTATTTATTTTATTTTTATCCTCACCTGAGGACATTTTTCCATATTTTGTTCAGATATAGTGGGAGGGAGGGAGGAAAAGAGAGAGAGAGAGAGAGAGAGAGAAACATTGACGTGAAAGGGACCCAACCAGGCCCGGGGACAAACTGCAGCATGTGCCCTTAGCGGGAACTGAACTGGGTCTCCTCGACCGCAGGCGGACACTTCAACTTCTGAGCCAAACCGGCTAGGGCTGACCAAGTGGTTTATAGGAGCAATTTCCGGATGGTGCTATGGGGGATCCTCCCCATGTCTTGGCTAAGGGACATTTTTAGCTAAGTTTGGGCTTTGGGCTGGCATCCACTAGATGACTTTGTGATTCCCAGGGTCACAGTATGGGGTTGAGCCTGCCGGGTACTGCACACACATGTCTGAGTAACCAGGTAGCAATCAGCTCAAAGGCAGTGGGTCCTAAATCAGGAATCAGCATCCTTCATCAGTCACTGGGTTGAGTTCTTGGACATTGCTAGGTGCTGGATATTGCTTCTTCACTGCCTGGGGCTCCATTTGCCCAAAGGCCCCCCTCTCCCAACCCAGAAATCCAGTCAGATCCCCTTGTTAAGAGGGATATCAACTTATGTAAAAGGGAAGACTTAAATGGCCACAAGCTCCTAATGCAGGACTTCTGGGTAATTCCCTTAAAGAACTGAGAGAGTGTTGAAAAGTGAGTGCTATGGTGTGGAAGGGCAGTTCTCCGAAGTAAGGGAGCAAAGACAACTAACTGACTGTGTAGAGAGAAAACAACCTCAGGAGGTGGACTGGACTGGACTGGACTGGAGGTGCCACGGTGCTCCAGGCGCTGCCTGATTTTTTCCTTCTCTCTCTGTTCCACTCCCTCCTTCCCCCCTCCCTGTGCCAGTGTCTTCTTGCTGACTGTTAGTTTTACAAAACCCCACACGAGTGAGTCCCTCCAGTGAGAGCACACACTGTGTGTGTCCCAGAAGTCAACAATCAGGATCAGAACCATTGGGAAGGACTTTTTTTTTATTTTCTTAATCCTATTTTCCCATTTTTGTTCAGGTAGAGTGGGAGGGAGAGAGAGGAACAGAGAGAGAGAGAAACATCGACGTGAAGGGACACATCGAGTGGCTGCCACCCGCACAACCGACCAGGGCCGGGGACAAACTGCAACCGAGGTACGCGCCCTTAGCGGGAACCGAACCCGGGTCTCTCAGGACCGCAGGTCGACGCTCTAACCGCTGAGCCAAACCGGCCAGGGCGGGAAGGACTTGTTTTTTAAAATGTACAATTCTGATCTCTCTCAGTTCCTAAAGGTGGACCTGGGGTTGGATGCACCCCCTCCCCACTTTCCTAAGTGCTTTAAATGGTCATGGTCATACAATTTTGAGAGCAGTAATGTGGAGGGAGCACCATGTGCACCACGTCTGACCAGCTGGGCATTTGGACAATTGCCCAGAACATTGTTGGCCTGAGGCACTAGATAGAGTGTCTGTAGGGGCCCTGAGGCCCCTCTCCTCACATCATGAGGACCCTGGGGAATAGTAGAAGATGGGTATACATCTCAGGTCAGCTAGTTGAGACAGAGCGGGGGGGGGGGGGGGGCGCTGCTGATTCTGTGCCAGTCGGCTCCTCCCCATCCTTAGATGACTTGGGAGCAGCGCAGGGACAGACTCCAGTGGGGAACCATCCAGGGACTTGGTGGGAGGAGGCCTCCTCTTCCTGACAGGACGTTGTGTTAGAGCCGTGGTTCTCAACCTTCCTAATGCCGGGACCCTTTAATACAGTTCCTCGTTGCTACTTCATAACTGTAATTTTGCTACTGTTATGTCTTAGGTGACCCCTGTGAAAGGGTCGTTCGACCCCTGAAGGGGTCGCGACCCACAGGTTGAGAACCTCTGTGTTAGAGCATATTGTAATGTCAGGAGAAGAGGAAATTGTTTTCCCTCGATTTCTTTTTTCCCCCCTAACTTTTTACCTCGAAAACTTTCAAACCTACAGATAAATTGTGATAGTACCATCAATACCTTTCAACTAAATGTCATTGTTAACAATTGGCCACCTTTGCTTTCTCCCTCTCTCTCGCTGCGCTTATCTCCGTCCACCCTTTGACAGTAAGTTGCAGACATCAGTGCATACCTTCCTCCTCAGAATAAACTGTTCTAATTGTCACAATATCACTGTCACAACTAAGACAATTAATACTGTCTACCATATTTAATACGCAATCCCTATTGTCCCCCCAAATGTCTATATGATGTCTGTATTTGTGTTGCAGTTATAGCTGCCCCTACACCACCACCCCCTATCCAGGATCTAATCAAGATTCAGGCATTTGGTTATTAGTCACTTTTCATCTAGAACAGTGCCTGCTTTTTTTTGTTTTTGTTTTTCTTCCCCTGCCCTTGGCTCTTTGAAAGAATCCAGGCCACTTATGTTGCAGAATTCCCACATTCTGGGTGTGCCTGCTTTTCACCTCCTGGTTAGCTCCCAGTTAAGTGTTTCTGGCAATGTGTTTACAGTGCTACTGTGCCACAGCAGCGAGCACACGACATCACGGAGGGCCCCCCAGTGGGCAGCTAAGTCTGACCACTTAGTTGACTAGCTGGTGAGACCTCCAGGTCTCTCCATTGCAAAGATATTGTCCCTTTGTCAATAGTAAGTAATTTGTGGGTAATACTTTGAGATTGTGTGGTTAGTCTGTGCCCCATGACCCAATGATTTTCGTATCGATTTTGTTCCTTATCAGAATGTTATTACCTTGTAGGTTGCAAATTGCCTATTTTCTAATTTTACCATTATTTATCAATAATTCTATATTAACCAGCACTAATTCTGCTGTGTAAAATAGAAAGAGCTTTCTCTTCTGCCCCCCTTTTTTAGTATCATCATTTCTGGAAATGGGGATTTTTTTATTGTTGATGTGTGTTATAATCCATAACGGACATCACTCTTTTTGGTGCTTGAATTGCTCCAGGGAAGGGTCCTGAGTGCCTTTGCCTCTGACATACCTCGTGAGTCTTTGAGGGTCCCTGCTTCCTGACGTGACAGAATCAACCCTCCCCCTAGGACCCCTGGTTTCTCCTAGTGTGCAGTCATCTTTAGAAACCAAGGTGTGGGTACAAAGTGTGCTCTTCCCTTTGGATTTGGAGGCAGTTTGACTTGGAATTTGCAGTCCTGAACCTGTAATGACATGTACCTTCTCTTGGGGGGGGGGTATCTTTTTACAAATTTAGTTTGATGAAGAATTTTTGGAAACAAAAGAACAGTTGCAGAAGCTACAGGATGGTGAGTGTGGAAATGAGACGACTCTGGGTAATGCTGATTTTTTTTTTTAAGAACTGATATTTATGTGGCAGGCCAAAGATGCTGTGGCACTAAACATTCAGAACGGCATCCTAAAACCAGACCAGGGAGAGGGAACGATAGCTGAACTTGCCAGGAAATCGCTTCTTATCCAGTAGTTCTGTAAGAGCTAGCGAAGGGGGAGGGAGCAGTTCCTTCTCCCTTCCAAGAAGGCAGCGCCTCTCCATGCCTCTCTCCTCCCCCGCCCTCGTCCAGTCTTCTCCCCCATCCCGTCTCCCTGTCCCTTCCCTCTTCATCTTTGCCTCACCTCTTTTGCCTCCTCCAAACTGAGGCAGAGGTCTGCATAAAGTATGCAGATGAAAGTCCTCATCGACTCAGCTGCATTTCCGAAGCAAATACCAAATTGATGAAATCAATGGAAGGCCCCCATCAGCTCCAGGATGTGGGGCCTCTCCACATCCAGGCCCCATAAGACATACCTAGCAACCTTGTAAGCAGCCTCCCTCCCAACCATCAGCAGGGTTCTCAGGCCCAGGTCATACTCCCTTGAGAGGGACCAACTGGACAGGGCTGTAATTCCACCTGTCGTGTGTAACACTGACATCTGAGACACATGCTTACTCTCCTCCCTCGACCCTCACGTGCCCCCAGTCCTTCAGCTCCTGTACCTGCCTCTCTCCCTGGGGTTTGAAAGGGTTTGATACAGGTTTGTTGAAGAAAGTAGTGGGTTACTTTTTGACCAGTGGTGGCAAAGTTGGTAGTCAGTCGCCTATGGCTGTGGAAAGATAAACCAGTGATTGGACCTGAGTGGCAGTTGGTGGTTTAGGCTTCATTATCAGGAGAACATTCTACAGGTATCGATCTTCTGCACTGTCCAGTGCAGGACCCACTGGCCATCTGTGCCTACTGGGCACTTGAGATGGGTCTAGTGTAGCTAAGGAACTGAATCTTAAAATTTTCAAATGTCAAGTAATTTAAATTTAGGCTTAACTAGACTCGTGCAGCTACTAGCTACTGTATTAACCAACACAGCTCTGAAGAACTGTCTTCACTCAACTCCCACCCCCTCATCACCATGGGTAGATACTTTTCCAGGGGTGAAAAATGAAGGGAAAGTTTAGAACAAAGCTGGTTTTCAGACTTCTTTTATGGCTGAATTTGCTCCCCCGAATGAAATCTGTCACAGGGAGTTTTACACTATTTCCTAAGGCTATGGCCCCAACTGTCTCTTTTCATTCCCTAGAGCACTTTTTCAGGGGTCCAGGGACAGGGAAGAGATCACCTCTAACTCTGGGCTTCTGTTCTCAGGTAACCACCTGCTGTTCCAGCAAGTGCCCATGGTTGAAATTGACGGGATGAAGTTGGTGCAGACCCGAAGTATTCTCCACTACATCGCGGACAAGCACAATCTCTTTGGCAAGGACCTCAAGGAGAGAACCCTGTACTATGGCCCCTCTTGAGTGTTGTCAGTTGTCAGCTTACTGATACCTTAGCTGATCTGCAGTCCTTGCAGCACCCCGTCTGCTTTATGTCTTGTGTCACTAGTGTGATCAGGGAATGGACCTGGAAAGGTCACGAAGCCCAGTTGCAAAATCAGTACAGAGAGTCTGAGTAGAATGATAGAAAAGAATTGAATTCAGATATTGGAGCCTGCCTGTATCTGGAGTGTGGTTGTTGCAGGTTTCAACATCTTTAAACGCTTTGGTAATACTTTTTCCCTTTCTTACAAATCTACTATTGACTATTAGGCATAGGAAGCCACCGTGACATTCGAGGCCTGGGATACTGTGTCTTGAATTATAATTTGAACTCAAAGCCTGGTCCTTATACCTCCTGGATGCATGACCCAATGCAGCGTGTTAAGCTCTGGAGTCCTGATGGAGTGCACTGGGAATAATAACAACACACCCCTCATAATGTCACAGGATTCAACGAAATAACAGATACAGAGTGTTTAGCACCATGCCTGTTGCATGCCAAGCATTCCAGAAATGATATCCACTCTCCTTCTAACTGTGGAGTTCCACCCACACTGCACATGGGTGTGGAGTGAGAGTGGAGGAGTGGGGGCTGGGGGAGAGGGCCACCGTGACTTTTGCTGTCTGATCTGTGACAGATGTTTCTGAGGGCATTTTCTGGATTCTAGATAGAGTTGTCTGCATCTTTCCTCTTTAGGGACAGGTGTAGACAGATGCTTCTTGGCATTTAAGTTGCCAGAGCCTTAAGAGAAAAAGCACTCTGAATTTTTAGTTGTGGAAGCTGATGAGCTTTAAGAAGGGGAAACTAAGAAACCTGCTTTTTCCTTTGAAGGATTGATATGTATGTGGAGGGGACGCTGGATCTGCTGGAACTAATCATCATGCACCCTTTCCTAAAACCAGACGATCAACAGAAGGAAGTGGTTAGCATGGCTCAGAAGGCCATACTTCGGTACTTCCCTGTGTTTGAAAAGGTAGGTGGCAGAGAAGCCTATGAACAGAGCATAACCAAATCACAAGGGAGCTGCCACCAATGCCCCTTCCAGCTCAGGACGGAGTAAGGCTGAGCCCCGATGGACTGACCCGGCTGCACTCCTGACAGCTGACAGTAGCCATGAGCACAAAGCCATGATATCTTGGAGCCTCTCAGATTCCACTAGGACCATATGATTCAGAAATCTGTAAAAATCTGGGCTCACCACATGTGTGCATCATCATTCCTTATTTTCACTGGATGCCCACCCTGTGTAAGGCACAGAAAAGCAGAAACCCCCTCATTCATTCATTCTTTCACTCCACAAACGTTTGCTGAGCAACGTTGTGTATCAGACATCCCACTGAACAGTTTGATCTGAAAGGAAGAATCACTGCTCTTTATTTCTCTTTTTTCTGTTTTGTTATTTTCCTTATTACTCTGCTTTTCTGAACTTCAACCTCCTTTTTCCCAACTGAGAGGAATTGTTTTAAATGTCTCAATTAAAAAACAAAAAATGACAATGTAAAAATGTGAAATTGTCGAATGTCCTCTGGCCATCTTCATGGAATTGGATTTTAAAAGGGGAGGTATTTCCTGGCTGTTTCTGTCACTTGGTTTCATGGTCACTTGCCCACAGGCACTCAGTGAATGTAAAATATGATAATGCAGAAATGTAGTGTGACAAGGGAGGGGCAGGTGGAAAGACCATCCCTGGTTTGTAAGTCCCAGTGGCCCAGCTGATGTCAGGGCTCCTCTCACCGCATGAGCTAAAAGTGGTTACCACTCTTATACGTAGTGGAACAGAATCACCGAGAGATTGAGTGATGTGTCCAAGGAGGAGAGCTGGGAATGGAACTCGGCCCTTGGACTACAAATTCTGAGTTCCTTGTACTCCCCCACTGTGGCTCCACTAACTGTATTTTATTTGGAATCGTATGCAGGGTCCCTGTCAGGCATACACACCACACATACATGTGTGCACACATCCTCACACACGAGCATCTGAGAGTTTGCTGCGAAGGGGCTCTCCTCTCTTCTCCCGCGGTTCCTGTGCCTCTGCACCGAGATGGTACTCTCAGAACAGGAGTCAAGATGAACTCCCATGCTTTGCATTTTTTTCTGGCTTCTGAGATGCGAAAGGAAGCCTGCTGTTTTATAGTCACGTCCAGTTTATGACTATGAGTCCTGATGTTAGTACAAACAACTAGCAAACAAGATTGGACTTCTGGGCAAGGACCCATCGCCCGATTCTTACATCACTTCCCCCCTTCCCCAGCCTCTAAATTCATCAGGGCTAGTTCATTTCTGTAGGTACATTTATGGAATAGATGTATCCATTGAAAGCATAAGTCCTCAATTAATGTCCCCCCTTTGCAGTGTTTCATTCTGATATACAGCACATATTTAACGCTGCTTTCATTTCTATCCATTTGGTGCATGCGCACTCGCTGCTATAGGGAGCTCCCTCTTAATTCATGTTATTAATAAAGGTGAAAGGATAAGGCCGGAGTGTCACCCCTTTCTCAGATACTGCACTCATTCAGTAGCTTCGCCAGTTTCTCTGTGTGGAGTACTGTAACCGATGCAAAACACTTACATCCTGCAGGTTCTACGGGAGCACGGACAGAGGTTCCTTGTGGGGAATCAGCTGAGCCTGGCAGACGTGGTTCTACTCCAGACCATTTTGGCTCTAGAGGAGAAAATTCCCAATATTCTGTCTTCATTTCCGCACCTCCAGGTAAATGAAACCACATATTAGAACACAGGTCCGGGACGGTTTGGCCTTCCTTCAATGTCTGTTGATTGGTTAGTTCTCCGTGTGTGTTCATGTACTGTTTTAGATTCTAGTTGGTAAAATGAAATGAAGGTCCAGACTTGAAATTGTTTTTCTACTCCCCAGGTCTGCAGTTTTGTTCCGTAACTATACTTTTGGAACAAACTTCCTACACAGTGAGCCAGTAGGGACTTGCCACAGAAGTAATCGCACGGGCGGGGTGCCCCTCGTCTGTTCCTGCCGAATGGACTGACGGGGGGGCGGGTGTGAGCACCAGCCTCAAAAGCAGTCTCATCGCCAGGGCAGGCTCCCCTTCTCAGAACTAGCACGCTCTCAAACTGCAGAGGTCTAAGCCTGCGTTCTGAGAGCGAATAAGAGGCACCCCGAACATTATCCCAGAGAGTTCCCACCATCCTCCTCCCCAGAAATGCCAAAGACCTGTGTGTGGCTCAGCTTATTCCTCACTATTATTCTGGCAGGACTGAGCATACAATTTTGAAGCAGAAAAGGGTTTTAAAAAACGAATCTCATGCAAAGCCTTCAATATACATATGAGGAAATAGAGCCCCAAGGTAAAGAAGTCTGCAGCCAAGATGCTCCAGCTAGTGGGTCCTTGAGTTTTGCCTAGAACCTTGGCATTTTTATCTGCAAGTCCAATGGGCTTTCCTCTATAGTGGGGGTTGGCAAACTACAGCCCCCATCACTCCAGGCTAAATCAGGCCTGCCACTTGTTTTTGTACAGTCCTTGAACTAAGAAATGCTTTTACACTGTTAAACGGTTGGAAAAAATGCCAAAAGAGTAATAATATTTTATGACATATGAAATTATATGAAGTTCAAATTTCAGTGCCCACAGGTAAGTTTTATTGGCACAAAGCCACACCCATTCATTAATGAATTGTCTGTTTGCTTCTGTGCGACCACAGCAGAATTGAGTAGTTCTATTAGACATGATGTAAGGCCTACACAGCCTGAAACATTTACTAACTAACTGGACTTTTGTAGAAAGGTTGTCAACCCCCGATATAGACCATAGCGACATATCTTTGATCAAATTATCAAAGGCCAAGAGAGACACACACTTAATCTCCAAAGAGTAACACAAATACTTTAAAAAATTTTTTTTCCAAATCCAGTAAACATCATTTTGATATACTAATGAGGACAATAACCCCAGTTTAGTGCATGCATCCAGAAAATGAGAATCTTCACCAAGGCAAAGAGTCGTTAAATAGTTTAACTATACGTTCATTTCTTTGTGAAGACACTAAGGTGAACATTGTGTAATTTGACTTTAATACCAATAGGTCCTTGCAGCAGCTCAGGGACCTACTGGTATTTTCATCCATGATGCTGACAACTTGATTAACCCAGGCACATTTGTGTAAATACAGTTTTAATCTCTGATCATACCAAGCACTAATATTAAAGGACTTTAGAATCTAACACCAGATCTGAGTTTAATTGAAAGGTCATTCCTACAGTAATTAAAGAGTTAAAAATCAAAAGTCACAACAGTTATATTATACATGATAAATATAAATCCCACGTAAATTTTTAAATGATAAATCTTGTGGAACAAGCTTCTCAATATTGATATAATATTCAAAATTAATAATACAAAGAGTTCAAATAAGTAAAGATTATCATATTTACATAGCATTAATTGACATGATTAGTAGAGTTTTTGTTAATATTAGTGACATATATATATTATTATTATTAACATATATACATATTTATAGATATATGTTTTAATCCTTACCCGAGGACATTCTTAGAGAGAGAGAAACATTAATGTGAGAGAAACATCAATCAGCTGTCTTTACATGTCCGGACTAGGGATCAACCCTGCAACCTTTTGGTGCACAGGACAACGCTCAACCAACTGAGCCACTGTGGCCGGTGACATATGTGTATATTTATGTTTGTGTACATGCTTAGTTAAGGCTGTGCTTTGTTTATAATTGATATTTAATAAATAGTAGCATTTTAAATAAATGACCTCTTTGAAAGATTTAATTAGAGTAATTACATATAATGGATATATACTTTTTCATGTAATTCAAAAATTTTACTGGATCGCCCTGGCCGGTTTGGCTCAGCGGTTAGAGCATCGGCCTGCGGTCCGGAGAGACCCGGGTTCGGTTCCCGCTAAGGGCACCTCGGTTGCAGTTTGTCCCCGGCCCTGGTTGGTCGTGCGGGAGGCAGCCACTCGATGTGTCTCTTTCACGTCAATGTTTCTCTCTCTCTCTCTTCCTCTCTCTCCCTCCCACTCTATCTGTGCAAAAAATGGAAAAATGTCCTCGGGTGAGGATAAAAACAAAACAAAACAAAACAAAAAAAATTTTACTGGATCAAGTAGACTTTTTCTCTCAGTTATAGAGAATTGGTAAGATTTAACTCTATGAATGAAAAATAGGATTTTTTTTAAAATTTCAGTTTACATAAATATCTGGTATCTGAGCGAGCCCTAGGCTACAAAAAATGCAACTGGCCATCTCCCACAAATATCCAGAAAGAGGATTCATTAGAAGTGAAAAAAGTCTAAGAAAGCTGAATTAGAATAAAAAATGTACCATCTGATGACTTTTTAAAGCATTTTTATTGAAATGACTCATGTATTTTTTCTGAGAAGATCAATATATTTAAGATACTTCTCAAGTCTCCCCTCCCCCACTTTTTTCTCTTCAAGTAAGTATCATTACCCTATTCTAAGTATCTTTTTAATTTTGCTATTTCTGAAAAAAAAAAAATTCACATTTTGGTGTGAACAGTGAGATTTGCATAAAGCCTGGTGTAGATACCAGCCATTGTTGGCAGAGATTGTAAATAACCCTATCAGGAGATCAGACCCTAGGCAGAGGCTGGATTACAGTTCTGGTTGGATCCCTGTACTTATTGAACACATTTTGATGAATGGGCCATTTTGAACAACCGTATTTTCACAGTAACTAATACATTTGTGGTTAACCTTGAACGTCTGTGTTTTCCTTTTTCAGGAGTACTCAGTGAAAATGAGTAATGTTCCTACAATTAGGAAATTCCTTGAACCTGGCAGCAAGAAGAAGCCTCCTCCCGATGAGATCTACGTGAGAACCGTCTACAACGTCTTTATGCCATAAAACAGCACACGCGTCTGTGAGTGAGAACACACCTCTAGAGATTGCTGTGACCACAATAGTACCTTAATTGATGCCAGGCTGCCGTGATACCAGCTATGTGGTGGTGCTACATGTAGTTGTTGCTAAGTTGGGTCTTTCATGTCAAGGAGATCTCTTCTAGAAACATTGACATTTTTGTCTAGTGAGTAATTGTTATGGGACCTTTTTCTGCAAACCTTTTTGGAGAGGGTGGCATTTAAGTTAGATCTGATCTGAACTGATAACAGTGAATATCTCTCCTCTGAGCTGTTATAAATCCATGGTAGTAATGAATGCAGTCGATATTAGCTAAAATAAAGAATTTACAAATCATTGACCTGTTGCTAGAATTTTTTAATTCAGTTGTTTGGAATCTACAATGTAGTTACATGGTTCAAAAGTAAAAAAAGTATAAAAGTCTACAGTTTTCAGCCCTGCTCCCAGCTACCTGGTTCTCCCCACAGGCAGAGTTATCATTTGTATATCCTTCCAGTTATATTTGATATATGTATAAAAAAATACAAATATATGTTACTTTTACCTTATTATCCAAATGGTCATTGGCAGGCTTGAATTTTTTGCATTTCAGATTAAAAGGATGGTTTAATTCATACTGCTTTATTTTTTTTATAAACAAATTGAAAAAATTTTTTTTTCCTTTATTGATTTTAGAGAGAGAGGAAGTGAGAGGGAGAGAGAGATAGAAACACTGATGAGAGGGAATATTGATTGGCTGCCTCCTGCATGCCCCCCACCAAGGATTTGGCCTACAACCTGGGCATGTGTCCTGACGGGAATCAAACCGGCTACCTCTTGGTGCATGGGTCGACAATCACTGAGCCACATCGGCCAGACTATTCATACTGCTTTAAACATATGTTGACTTATGGCTCAAATATTAATTGAGCACCTGTGACGTGCCAAGCAGGGTTCCAGGAGGCAGAACCCTAGAACAGAGCTCCTGCTCTAGAAAATGTGACCACATAGTAGAGGAGATAGATGTGTAAGCAGCACAAGTAATTTTGGGAAAGGAAGAAATGCTGCTATTGGAGTGTATAATACTCAGAAATTTAAAAAGTAAGGAAAGGCAAGTTTTTGACGAGGGCTTATAGAGGGGACACGTTTTGCTCAGATGTAAAATAATAATGATAATAATAGTAATAATAATCACTTGGTGATCATTCATGCTCGTCACACTCATTGCAAGGGCCTTAGTGTTTTATTAGAGGAAAATCAGTGCAGACACCCAGGTAGTTGTTTGTGTTCACACTTCAACAGTGTGAGCACTCTGTTGTCATCCTAATAGTTAGAATTGCCGGACGAGCAAGGGCTTGGTGACACATGTAGCACTGGGCCAGCCCCTAGGAACAACAGGGGCCCAGGCTGCTGCTTCTGAGGCTGAGGCCCGGCCCAGGCTCTGGCCAGGATCCAGAGAGCAAGAGCCAAGAAAAAGGAGAAAACGAGGGAGTATGTAGTGAAAAGACTCACCCTTCCCAAAGGCCAAAGACAAGTCTCTCCTTTGCTTCTGGAAGGTGATGTCTTAAGCCCTTGGAATGTCACGCCTAATGGGAATGTTTGCCTGTGGGCCTTGGGCCAGCCAGATACTAACAGTGTGATTTGAGCCACACCCATTATGCCGTGTGTGGTGTGTGGGATGGGGGCTTTGGGTCATGGGATGTCAGCTCAGCTTTGGAGGGGCTGGAGTGGCATCTGCCACATGGGTAGTCAATTATGCCCAGGTGATGGCGCCCCAGGAAAAACTCTGGACTCGAAGCTTGGGTGGGCTTCCAGTTGACAACACTCCATTGTCACACATGGTTGCCAGGAGGAGTGAATGCGTCCATGACTCCATAGAGAGGACATCTGGACGCTCCGTGTCTGGACCCTCTCGGACTCCGCCCTGTGCGTCGTCTGTATCTCTCCCTGTAATAAACCGTAGCCGTGAGTACAACAGCTTTCAGTGAGTTCTGTGAGTTCTTCCAGCGGATTGCTTTGGGCACCCCCTTGAACTTGCAGTTGCTGTCAGGGTGAGGGTGGTCTTTTGGCCTGCTCCTTCTTAACTCTTCTGGGAAGAGGAACATTTTACACTCATTTGAAGATTAATTTACACATGGGAACCAGACGTGGACTTGATAACACCCAGGGGTCTGGATTATTGAGTTTTGTGGGATAGCAGCAAGTTGGGACCACTTTATACTATTTCAGTGTGATTTTATTATCCAGTGCCATTACCTGGCAATATTTTTTTAAAACCTTTAAAAAATTTTTTTTTTCTTCATTGATTTTTAGAGAGGAAGGGAGAGGGAGAGAGATCAGTGAGAGAGAACATCGATTGGCCGCCTCCTGCATGCCCCTCACTGGGGATTTGGCCCACAACCTGGGCATGTGCCCTGACCGGGAATCAGACAGACGACCTCTTGGTGCATGGGTCCATGCTCAACCACTGAGCCACACCGGCTGGGCTACCTGGCAATATTAATTGAGGGTCTGGTAAATAGACTTTAAAGCCATTTTGTAAATATTGCTGTTTGGATTTTATTCTCTTAGACACCAGGGGGCCCTCAATGCTGGCTCTTTGAGGAAACAACCAGGGAGGAAGTTTGGCTTCTGCACTGAATTAGAGGATTAGACAAAATAAACACAAAAGGCTGGCTGTTCCAATGAAGACAGATTCCCATGTCTTTCCCACTCACAGTTACATGACCTCAAATCGTGCCATCAGTTCCCATGTTGGAAACAAGTTCCCTCCTCCCCACCCTACCTCATGTGGCATGACCCCAGTTTGTCACAGTCCCCTTTGTCACATGCCACCAGACTCCTGCTGGTTAGTCTCAAGCCTTTTTCTTCCTCCCATTTTCATCAGCCACCAGGCTTTGGTGCTAGAGTAGGAAGTCAGGCTTTGGGGCATGTGTTCTCCAAAACATCAGGGCTGGACCCAAACACATGAGACGGAGCATGTGCAGAGGGGTGACATGAGGCTCAATAACCAGAATCCATAGCAGGTGAACCATTGGGGTTAAAGTGCACAGCCACGTAGAAGTGGGGCGGTTTCAGAGGCTCGAGTGTCTGGGACAAAAAGGAGAGAGCTGGATGGTGTGCATCTGTGGTGTCTGACGGAGGAGGAGGAGGTGCAGCACTTAATAGGCCTGGGACCCAGCATAAGCCAGTCAGAGAGGCTTTGGCAGACTGTGCCTCAGGGAACACCTGATCTCTTCCTGCTGCCTGGCTGGGTCTGTAGGGGCCAGCCTCCTGGGGGCCCCACCAGAGCAGAAAGAATTCCACTGGGCAGGGTCTGCAGCAAACAACAACCAGCATGGGCGCTTGTATTTGCTGGTGTTCCCTCTTCATCGCAGGTGCTTTTTATTCCTTTAAGTGAATTGCCCAGAAGTTTGCAGGGCAGGTTTCTTGTTCTGTCAGCACAAACATCCCCACCCAAGGGGGTCTCTCTGACCAAGAGACCTGTGCACTCTCCCCACACCCACATACCTCTTTCTCATCTATTTTGTTTTCTTCAGAGCACTTGACACCTTCTGACAATTTTGTCTGTTTAATCTATCTCTGTCTTTATATTTAAAGTGGGTTTCTCACCCAGGCCGGTTTGGCTCAGTGTTTAGAGCGGCAGCCCACGGATCAATGAGTCTCAGGTTTGATTCCAGCCAACAGCACGTACTACGGTTGCGGTTCATCCCCGGCCCTGACGGGTCATGCGGGAGGGAACCAGTTGATGTGTCTCTCTCACATCGATGTTTTTCTCTCTCTCTTTCTTCCTCTCTCCCTTCCTCTCTCTTCCTCTCTGACCAGTGGAGTACAAAGTAGAATACTCACTGGCTAATTCCTTGATAAAAATAAATAAATAAAGTGGGTCTTGTTTTAGTCTGCTCAGGGTTTCTGTCTTTTCATTGATGTATTTAAGCCCACATTTAAAATCCTTATTGATGTGGTTGAATTAATATCTACCTTGTTTGTAACTCTTTTCTATTTGTTTCCTTTGTTCTTTCTTTCCTTTTTTCTTCTCCTCTTTTTCTGCCTTCTTTGATTTAATTAAACGTTTTCCATGGTTCCATTTTCTCTTAGCATGTCAATTGTAGCTCAAATTTTTTTTTAAAAGTTTTATTTGTTGCCCTAGAGTTTGCAATATATGTTTAGGCTACACTAAGACTTCTTTCAATAACACTAACCTGCTTTACGGATAGTGCGCGTATCTTATCACAGAGTATTCTCAGTCCCTCCTCCTGTCCCTTATAAACTTGTTGTTGTACATCTCACTTATCCGACGGCTATGATGATCTGATACATTGTCGCTGTTATTATTTGAACACTGCATTTATTTGTTTATGTATTTATACTGTCTGTCTCCCCCAACTAGAATGGAAGCACCACAGGTGCAGGAATTGGGTCTGTCATGCCCACCGTGCCAGAGTCAGGGCTGAAAACAGTGCCCGGCACAGAGTGGTACCCAGTCAATGTGTGCTGAGTGTACTGTCCTCTTCCTTGGGTCACGTGATGTGCTATCAGACACACTAACAATGGGTGTAAAGTGAAGCCCCAGGGGCGTGTACAAAGTGGAATACCCGCTGGCTAATTCCTGGAGTGGGCAGAGCTTGCAACTGGAAAGATAAGGGTTATAAGCCTTCAGTTCATCCCCCACAGCCGCGGAGACAAGAGCCAGGAAGAGATAAGGTTAGTGGTGAAGTTTTTATACACTTTTCTTGGGCTTGGATAGTTATATTTTGTAGACAAATTTGTAGCTTATAGTCAGCAATTGTTTTTACTCTGTGGTTAATTTAATGCCTATATTTATTTCTAAACCTGCCTATGTCAAAAGGAACAGATATATAGATAAATATACACATATATATATATTTTTTCTGTAGAGTAGATATGTAAATGAAAACGAGGTGGCAAGTTACATCTAGACAAGACCTTTTAAAGACTTTCACTGCCTATGCATGACATACACATCCCCCACATCCATGTCACACGTCAAATGTAATTTCAAAAATAAGTACGTGAAAGTACAGTAGTCTTTCAGTTGATCGGTGGACATAACAGGCCTAGCAATATGTAAACATTTATTTGTTTCTGAGACATTTCCTTTTTTCTTCTTCGGCAATGCTCACATGTTTTTACATAGTTGAAAAGAACACGTAAGTCTCCTGCATCTAGGCGTCTGCTCCACTGTGCTTGGAAGATTTCATCCAAATGCTCTGTCACTGGGGTCTTCCTCTGGGGTCCTGCATGCTCGGGGAACTGCACGTTGAAAAGCAGGCATCTGTATGTCAAGCCCTGACCATTGATTCTGGGACTTGCCCATCTTTGAACAGAATCGGACCATGGGGCAGCTCACTTTGCTTATTACCTAAGCAGCCTTAACTAGGTAGATGAAAGTCTCTTTCTTGGTTATATTTTTTTCTTTAAGTTTATAAGCCTTGGGGGTATAAGCCAACCTTTTTTGAGTTTTGGAAACATGAATCAATCTATTAGACCCTCATGGAAAGGTATTCTGAAAATATAAATCTCTTTGGAGAAGACGCTTAGCATATGAGCATGGAATAGAGCTCTCTCCCAGATTGTCCTATTCCATCAGTAACCACCCTCTCCTTACCCAGGAAAATTGTTCAGCTGTGTTTGCGTATTAAAAATTCCATATAAATACCCGAGTTCTCTTCAAAGGAGCTAGTTTCATGTAAGAGACATTCCCTTTGATAAAATCCAAATAATTAATATGTCAAATCTAACTAATTAAATGCTTTGCTATTATGCTATCATATGTTAGCAAAATGGAAGAGAAATAATTCATAATCAAGTAAAAACAGACAAACTTTAAAGCTACATGGAAAATCTTGGATGTGCTCTGAAGCATTATATACTTAAAGTTAAAATCATGCTTCCTGTTTCCAATCTAACAAATTAAAATTCTGTGGGGAATACAGGGTTATTTGGGAGAGATTTTTTGTCTCAGTGGCAAACTTTGATCTGATTGTAATGCAGGTAGGCCATTCTGATCCACTGCAGAAGCCAAAGTAAATGTTAAGGCTATTTTTATTGATTAGATTTAGAATTGACATCTTGTATTCTGGCCTAAAACATCTGCTAAAACTGCCAATCTCTTAAATTAACTCTGTAAGATTTTCATGATCCAGAAAAGTCAATAAAAGCCTGCTTTTTGCCTCGCTGTTCAAATAATTGAGAAAAATGTATGTAGTTTTGCCTCCCTTATCCAGAATGACTGTTAACATTGTCAGTAGAATTTCACCCCCAGAAGATTGGCTGCTTTCCCGATGCATGTGTGTAGCAGATAGGAGGGCAGGGCAAAGAATGAAGACGAGGGAAGAGAAACAAGATCAGAAGAATTGTTGAAAGTGGAAGAAAAGAAGGAGATTATCTAATTCTGAACCAACTCTTCATTTTATAGTCGAGGAAGCGGACATTTCTTCCAGGCCTGCCCCAGGGCTGGAACCTACATATCTGGTACTTGGTTAAAACTGGGAATCAACGAAGGCCTCACTCACATCCTAGGAATTTATCTTATTTTTATTAAGAAAATTTATTTTCTTTATTGAATTTAGAGAGAGGAAGGAAGAGAGAGAGAGAGATAGAAACATCGATGAGAGAGAACTTCTATTGGCCGCCTCCTGCATGCCCCCCACTGGGGATCTGACCCAAAACTTGGTCATGTGCCTTGACCGGGAATTGAACCAGCGACCTCTTGGTGCATGAGTCGATGCTCAATCACTGAGCCACACCGGTTGGGCAGAATTCCTCTCTTTTATAGGGGGATCAATAAAATTGATCTCATGAAAAATTTACTTACAATTCTCCCAAATTCCCTCTGCCCTTCCCTTTTTCTGTTTTGAGCCACCTACCACCTCAGCCGGTCACCATTTGCTCACCCTGCCTTTTAAACACCTTGCTCTGCAATTCATGCCTACCCAACATTCCCCGGGAAGAATGACCTAGGGCCACACACTGAGCTCTAGGTGCAGTTTAGTTTGGTTTTCATTCTAGACCTGGCTTCTCAAACTTCATTTAAATATGCAAGTGAATCACCTGGGGATGTTGTGAAAAATGCAGACTCTGGGTCAGTAGACTGGGCCCAGGGACTGATCTTCCGCATTTCTAACCCGCTCCCTAGTGAAGCTGATGCTGCTGGTCCAACACACTTGTAGAGAAAGCCTTCCCCTCCTTTTGGAAGCACATGTGAATGTGGAGATACAGGAGTGTGTGTGTGTGTATGCACTTATGGGTGCATGCATGCATGCAGGTGTGTATGCATGTTTGCATGCATACATACAGGTGTGTGTGTGTGCTTATGTGTGCATGCATGTAGGTGTGTGTATGTGTATGCATACAGGTGTGTGTATGTGGCATTTTTTGAGTCCTTACTATGTTCAGCAATTTGCACACATTGTCGTATTTCCACCTGATAACTAACCAAATGAATTAGGAGCTATACGCTTTGCTGTACAAATGAGGAAATTGAGGCTCAGAGAGGTTAAAAAAACTTGCTCAAGTGAGAGGTAGAGTTGAAATATATTTTTACTGGTGGTTCCAGCCCGTGGACTAACTCAGATACAGGTTCTATTTTCTAAGAGATTTGGGGCATATCTGTTATCCAAAGACCACTTTGACTACCCAAAGGTTGTCATGCCATCATGGCTGCTTTCTGCTCACCCACCTTAAGTGTGGGTACCTGGGCTCTGGGTGGGCAAATACACCCCACTGCGCATCTCACATGAAGCTGCACACAGGTGTTTGTGAGCCCTGGCAGGTGAGTCTCAGTTCCCAATGTCATTTGACCTCGGTGGGGAGCCTTCTTGCTGCACCAGGTTTGTTGAGTTCAGGACACACCTGTTGGTCAACAGCAGCACAAGAATGAGCTCTGAAGAGATGGGAGTGGGATTACAGTCAGCTCAGCGCCTTGGGTTCTGGGTCTTTCAGCAGCTTTTTCTCAGAGGGTTTGCATCTTGGGTGGAATCCAGAAAGACTCCTCTTTTGTTTCCTGCCTCTTCATTTCCCATGGATGGAATGAATGTTCATTGCACCTGTTCTTTTAAGCTTTGACAATGTGCTTTTTTTTTTTTTTTTTAAACAATGAGAATAATTGGGTTTTCTATTTGAAGCATAAACAAACTTGGTCTTCTACATTACCAAACTGTACTTTATCCTAATCTTTCTTGCCATTCATTAGAGGTCAAGTATAAAGGACTAAAGGACTTGGTTTGGGTCCTTAGCTTATAACGCCATGGGGTAGGGAGGAGCAGGGCTCAGGGAAACAAACATGTTTATAGTCAGGGTGGGACAAAAGTAGGTTTACAGCTGTGAGTATGAAAAACACAGTGTTTATTCTTGTATCATTATTTACTAATTATTGTGTTATTTCCCATACGAACAGCTGTAAAACTACATTGCCTGCCCTGCACAGCATTCTGTAAGGTTCTGTTCAATCCCTGTAATGCTGTATTGTACTTTTACTAAACACCCCTTTCATTCTGACTGAACCTCTTGTTAGTCTGGATGTTTCCATCACTAGATATAGGTTGTAAGGTTTTTGATGGTGGGAACTACATGTTATTTATCTTTGTATGCTGGGAGGGCCTAACCTGGTATTATATCCATAGTAAGGAGTTCAATAAGTGTTTGATGCTGAAACAATGAAAGATCAGACACAACTTTAACAAGTTCAGGAGCTAGTATGTATCTCAAAGTGGCACATTGAGGTGACAGCTGCCACGTGTCAGGGTTGGTTCTACAGGAGATGGACAGACTACACCATCACCCCTGCCTTCCAGGAGTTTCCCTCGTTAGAAGTTTGCAGTGAAGAATTCAGCTGGTTCTTGGGGTGTGAGATCAAAAGAGGTGTTGGGCCCCTTTTGAGTGCTCAGTCCGAGAAGACAGCTCTTCCTGGGAGGGGTTGGGCGTGGGAACTGGAGTCCTGATGAGCCTCTTAGCCACCTCCAGTTCTGTTCCCCATCATCCCAGGTTAGAAGGCCATGGGGCCAGCCACGGCTAAGGGACGAGGAAAGGTGGCTTGTTGGCCAGAGCCAGCTATTTAAGAGGCACACCAACTTTTGGGATTTTTCCAAGAAGAGTTGGCTGGTGATTAACAACTAGAGAAAAAAGTCTCCTTCTTTGGACTAAAAAGGAAGGGTTGCCAGCTTTAGTCCTGTTTATCTAAGGTGGGGTCTCCTTCACTCCAACCCTGGGCTTTCAGGGCTCCCTCGGCACCGTTTAAGGCTTGGTGGTGATGGGGGAGGGGAGAGACCGTGTCTCTTGTAATCCAGCTCTGGGTTCCAGAGTTATATCCTTCCATCTCTCACGTGCCTGAGAAAGTGCCAGGGGCCGGCGAAGTGAAGGGGGGAAGCTGTGGGCACAGGTTGTTCCATGAAATTCCAGAATGTGCTTCCACGTAACAGTGAGCCACGGAAATGCTTGTTCTGCTTTTAGTCACAAAATGAAGGCAAAAGCCACACCAGAGTGTGCTTTTTAAACACCTTGTATTACAATATGGGAGTCAGATTCACAAAAAGTTTTAGCTCCCTTTTACAAATAGCAACTGCATTTGCAACAAACAATTATAAATCCCATACAAAACAAATAGGCAAGCCTATCTTAGTATAAGGAACTTTAGCCTGGCCAGTGTGGCTCAGTGGTTGAGCGTCGACCCACGCCTGAAGAGGTCGCTGGTTCGATTCCAGGTCAGGGCACATGCCCAGGTTGTGGGCCTGATCCCCAGTCGGGGGGGGGGGGGCAGCGAAGGAGGCGGCCAATAGATGTTCTCTCTCATCAATGTTTCTGTCTCTCTCTTTCAAATCAATAAAGAAAAAATAATTTAAAAAATCATATAGAACATTATTAGCATCCCAGGACACCCCATGCTCCCCCAGTCACAACCTCCATTCTCCCACTGGAGGTAACCACCATCGTGCTTCTGGGATCATGATTTTCTGGCTTTTCTTCATAGTTTTATCCACTATGTATGTATCCCTAAACATGGTTTTGTTTTGCCTGTTTTGGAATCGTTATAAACAGAGACACTCCATACTGTGTGCATTAGTTTGTTCTTTAAACGTATTTTTCTGGTTTGGCCCTTCAGGAGACTCTGAGCCGGGTGTCATGGCAGCCAAACCCAAGCTCTGGTACTTTCGTGGCCGGGGCAGGATGGAGTCAATCCGCTGGCTGTTGGCTGCAGCTGGAGTGGAGGTTGGTTCCTGATTGGGAAAGGAAGGAGGGCCTGAGACTGAAATGACCTTCTTCCCTCTTCAAAATTTAGGATGGAGCCTTCTCTTTCTCTTTGCAAGAGGTGCAGAAGGGACTTGGTTTGAGCTGGGGTGGGAGGGTGAAGCCAAGGGAGAGAGGTGTTATGGAAACTGCAGGGGCTGGAAAGAGCTTGGAGGATCGTAAGACAAAGGGGAGAAAGGAGACCCACATCTGGATCATTCCTTTCACTGGGACCAGCTGATTTCCTGGGGTTGTCTCAGTTCTGCCTTCGCACCCCAGTCACGTCCCCTTGAATCCTCCTCGGAAAGGTCTGCCCACAGGATCTTTTCTTAAGTCCGAGTTCCCTGTCCACTGACGTTCCATAGATTTTCACAGGTGGAATGGTTGGTTTCCTTTTCCTCATTTCAATGTCGTCTCCTCTGGAACAAGGACTCGTGATCTTTGCTTTCCTCTTTTCCCTTTGGGGACTTCTTCCCTAACACTGCTACCTTGTCCTACCCCCGTATCAAGGTTTGGGGCACAGAGAAGTCACTCCACAAAAACTTTAGAAAGTCCATCAATAAATGATGATAACCCCACCTGAATAATGCTCGTGGGACCCCTTTCTTTGAATATATGAGTATCAAAGAGAAATTTGATTTGATCTGATGTGGAGGGTGAATAACACAGAAAGGAGAGGAGAAAGAAAATAAAACACAAAAGAGGAGAACTCATTGGGGAAGGTGGAGAAAAAAACAAGAGTTTGAAAAGAAGGAAAAGCAAAGGTGAAGAAAAGGAAAATTATGAATGGGGGCTATGGGATATACTTTAAGTAGGCCAAGAGCAAAAAGGGGTTCTAGTCCCAGGACAGTCTAAGCTAATCTACACACACACTTTATTATAATTTTCAGCTGTGTTGTAGTTGATACCTTTGTGGCCATTTTAAGTTTTTTCTTTCTGGAAGCCATTGGGCATTTTATACTACTAGCTCTTTCTCTCTCTCTCTCTAGACCTTAAAGTTATAACAATGTCTCTGTTCTTTATCTAGTTTGAAGAAGAATTTCTGGAAACAAGAGAACAATATGAGAAGTTGCAGAAGGGTGAGCCTAGATTTGTTCAATGTCATCTTACTGGAAAAAAGAGAACATTTTTTTTTTTTTTCTGGAAATACTCATTTCATTATAGAACACCGAACTCTAGAATGACAACTATTACCAAAGGCACGAGGGGTGACTGCTAACATTGATTGCCTGTCCACCGTGTCCCTGTGTTTGTCATCGGCATTGTCTTTTAGCTTTCATAAAAGCCTCTCAAGTGTGTTATGAGCCCAGACCTCAATTAAATAACAGAGCATGAGTATGGATGACCAGTGCTCATTGATTCAAAACTCCCTATCCCACTGAAGAATCCTTTGAGAATTCTTAAATAATGATCCAGTGGGTGAAGGGGAGGGAGAAAAAAGGAAGGAGAATTTTACCTAAGATATTTTTTAGTTCTCATGGTTCATATCCACTTGTTCTTGGAGAGTTTAACAGATTAATGGAAACCATTTTATCGGTCACAATTTTAGAGTCAAGACTATAGAAAAGATCCAAATTTCTTTAAATTAGGATTCCAAGATGTCTTTAATCCTTATAATTCCCCAGAAAAAATTTCTCACACTGAGAGAAAGACTAGTACTTTCAAATTTCTAACAGCCATAATATTATTTTTCTTCTCTAACGAAACCTGGGTGTTCTATTGTTGCTGATAAACAATCATGAACTTGACAAATTATATTATTATTATTTTATTGATTTTTTTTTTTTTTTTTTTTAGCAAGAGAGAGGAAGGGAGAGGGAGAGAGAGAGAAACATCTATGTGAGAGCAAAACATCAATCTGCTGCCTCCTGCATGCCCCCAACTGGGGATCCAGCCCACAGCTAGAGCGTGTGCCCTGACCGGGAGTCAAACCAGCAACTCTCTGGTGCACAGGATGATGCCCAACATTGGCCTGGGTGACAAATTATTATTATTACTATTATTATTATATTGTTAATCCTCACCTAATTATATTTCTTCCATTGATTTTTTTAGAGAGAGTGGAAGGGAGAGAAGGAGGGAGAAAGAGAGAGAGAGAGAGAGAGGGAAAACATCGATGTGAGAGAGACACATTGATGGGTTGTCTCCCACGCACGCTTCAGCCTGGGCCAGGGATTGAACCTGCAATCCTGGTAACATATGCCTTTGACCCTGGGGCCCTTCAGTGCACAGCCCAACACTCCAACCACTGAGACTCAGTATTTTACTAAAGGTATCTCATTTCATCCTTTTGAAATTCTGCTAAATAGATATTATTACTATTTTAGAGAAAAGGAAGCTGAAGATCTAAGTCATTTGCTTAAAGTCACATGTCCGGAAAGGGCTCAAGCCGCCATTCAGACCCAGGTCTACCAGGGTTCTTATTGTCACATTGTCTTGACGCTGTGTGCACCTAGAGTGATGCTTGGTGTGCTTTTTAAAGAATTCAGACTCCCAGACTCCACCCCTGAATCAGAATATCTGGGCGTGGGTGAGTAGTTTTAACAACCCACCTCTCCTAGGTGATTCTTAGACACTCTAAACTTTAAGAACCAGTCATGGCAAATGTAGAAAGTCCTATAAATCATGACTAACCAACACACAAAAATGCATGAAACCAACAAGCATATCTCAAATTTTTCATTAAGCAAATGGTAGGCATTTCGTCAATGACTGGGGCCTTTAACTCACCACTTTGGATGAAAACTAAGAATTATTCAACGAAATTAGAAATGGACACTTTTACAGGCTTACCACAACCATAGAAGGAGAGTATCTTAACTTTCTTTGCTCAAACCACAGATGGACGCCTGCTTTTTGGCCAAGTGCCTCTGGTTGAAATTGATGGGATGATGCTGACACAGACCAGAGCCATCCTCAGCTACCTGGCTGCCAAGTACGACTTATATGGGAAGGACCTGAAGGAGACAGTCAGGTACCATGGGATTCATGCCTGTACTTAATTCTTATTCAGGCCTCTGTAGGCACCAACTGAGACCTGGTTCAGGTGTAGATTTTTAGCCTGGACTGAGGGGAGAAGGCAAGGAGAACAAGGGGAGATCTACTCTTGCTACACCCAGCGTGACTCATGCTTAACTCTCAATAAATACACTCGGCTTCTCCTTTTACTGCTCATAGCAGTCTGCATTCAACATTCTCATATTCTCTCTCAACTCCTAACAAAATACCTTCTCATAAAGTGACCTGGTGGACTATTCTACATGAAGGTGGAAATGAATGACTTAGTAAATAAATACTGACCACTGTAGCAATGAACTATTACTACAAATAATACAGTGTAACACATCTTGAAGCCCAGTGACGTAAATCAGCAAGCATTTATTATTACTCACCAGTCTATGGGTCATCTAGGTGGAGGGCATATCTGGGCCAGGCTTGACTTATCTTGGCTGCACTCATATGTCTGTGGTCAACCACTAGTCAGCCAGGGTGGCTCTGGTTTGGGGTGTTGACTGACTACTCTTTGGGAGGCAAATGGACCATGTATTTCTCATCTTGACTTTTTCTCATGGCAGTTAGGCAGGAATCTCAGAGAGAGAAAGAAAACACACAATGCATCTTAAGTACTAGGCTCAAAACTAGTACCTTATCAATCCACCTCATTCGATCTGTCAAAGCACAAATCATGAAGGTAGCCCAGGAAACAGACCTCATCAACTGATGGAAGGAACTGCCAAGTTTTATCACAAATACTGGAGGGTGAATATTTGTGGTTATTTGGGTGATTAGTTTAATTTCACGGGAGGTAAGTAGTTTTAAGACAACTATAAAGTTTATCTGGATTTGTGGTCAAGGGGCATTTTCTGTGGTCCCTTATATCTTATCACCATAAGCATAGATATGATGGGATGGTCAATAAACACTGACAACATGGTAGCAGAAAGGCCCAAGCTCGGTCATTCAGAAAAAGGAGAGAGCGTAACAGAGAAATGAGCAAAGTCCATAAAATGAGGCAGCTCACGAACTTTCACATAGCTCCTTTAAAACGGACTTAGTCATTCTAACCTGCAATCCTGCGGGTATACAGCAAGCGAAGTAATTTCAGACACATGGGTAGAATTCCTTTATAACAATGTAAACAAAAACAGTCTGTTTCTCATTGTTTCGATGCATGCTATTTTGTGTGTGTATATTTTTTAATACTCATGCTCCCCCCCCCCCCCCAAGATATGTGTCCTAAGCTCTAGATAGCATTGTTAATATTCTTTACTCCAGGTCAGGCATAAACTAGAATAGACTAAAGCAAACAGGCTAGATAGCAATCTAATATGGAAGGAAAAGAATTTGTACCTCAGCTAGGACAATAAAAGTAATTTATTTTTTCATATGCGTTAAAAAGAAAGACAAAGACCAAGAAGATCATTAAATGTGTTGGACAATTAGGACATAGTAGGGGATAAAATTCACACAACCTGCAAACTGGCTTTAGAGATAACTAGCACAGCGTGACTGTATCAATAGGCCAACAAATAGTAGTTACTGCATCTACTATTTTTAGTTTTTTAGTAACTGTTTTAAATAAGTATTTGTCAACTAAAGGAAAGTCTTAAAGAGAATGAAAGGAGCTGTTTGTCTGACCTGACTAGAAAAGTAAACTTCTTTCTCAGTTTCTGGGTCAATAGAAGACCTGATCAATTATATATCTTCCAAGTGTAAAAAGGTCCTGGTACGAATTGTTTTGCACTTTTGGTAAACTTCATTCAGTTCTGTCTTTAAACCCATAACAATCTATTTATTTATGGAAGAGTTCAACTTGGAGGCACTCATCAATTCTTTCACACATCCTTCCATTCAATACACATTTCCAGAGACCCTATTGTACCATAGTCATGTAACTGGTTCTGGTTTCAGAGATCATTCCTGAGTGTGGAAACTAAGGGAGGGGGAATCAAAAGTCATTTGCCCCAATTTCTATTTAAACCATAGAAGTTGCAGATGAGGAAACGGGAACTCGAGGCTTCCTCTGGGAATGACTCGCTCTGTGTTTTGTCAGGATCAACATGTACGTGGATGGCACTCTGGACCTCATGATGATGATCATTCTGACTGTGTTCAAACCCCCAGAGGAAAAAGAAGAGAACATTGCTTTAATTGTCACGAAAGCTAAAACCCGTTACTTCCCTGTCTTTGAAAAGGTAGGCTGCAGGGATCCAACCCTAGCGGGGCCCAGAGGGGTGGCAGGCACCCCAATGCTCTTGTGACAGCTGCATGCTCAGATCTCGGGGGGAAAGGGGTGAGGCAGAGCTGACATCTATGGGGACCCTACATCCCCCTCTCATCCCACAGAGGAAATGGGGAAGGGAAGGAGGAGACTGGGAGGGATGGCCAAGTGCCCAACTCCCCTTCCCAGGCTGCAGGGATCTGGGACTTCCACATTTCCGGTTGCTGATAAGAATATTTTAAAGAGTGAATATCTGAAAAGACAGAAACCACGTTAGAGCTTTCCTGCGTCTGGACTGAGACTTCAATAAAGATTCCAAAACAAATGACCTGTGTAATTATAGAACCTCCAACAAAACAGACTTAGAATAAGCCAAGTGTAATGAAAGGATATATTTGTGTTCTGATTTAAACAAACAAAAACCATCAGCCCAAGGCATCATCATCTCGTATACATTGAGTCAGATATTTCTTTAGGCTTTTACACTGTAGGCTAATCATGCTTCAGTCAAAGGACAAAGCCTCTAAAGTTACAACTTTCTGAAGGCATTTTGGTGTGAATACTGATTACAAATGTCTGCTCAGTATACCTGGTAAGGTTCCAAACCGAGAGGATAGCGTGCCACGTTTTAAAGACTTGTTCCCATAGGGTTCCATAAATAAAAGTTTTCAGGGCAAAATAATTCTGTGGCATAATTCAGAATAATTCAGACTTAGCCTTGAAAAAGAATGATTTATTATTGACCAAACTATAATGAAGAGTTCTGCCAGAACCTCAAAGCACTTACTAGCCAAGCAAGCTCCTATTTATTTGGGGACAATGGATAGTGATATTGAAATACCTTCCATTAAAGAAAAACAAAACCTAGTATGATTATTTGAGTTATAGTGTTGTTAACTGGGCTTTGTCTTACTACAGATTTTGAAATCTGTGGCCTAATCTGGCATATCCCAAAATATTTAGAGGAATTTATTTGCTCAGATCAGGATCAAACTTAAATTCATTCACTGTAATTAGTCAAATACATAGTAGTTGAAGCCCCTTTTAATGTCAAGTTCCCTCTTCCCTCTTGCATTTGTCTTTTCCAGTTTCTCACAGTCAGGATTTTAGATTTTCTGTCAACTGGAAGTTAGAGTTAGAAGCTTGACAAGTTCAGGTTCGATGTACTATGGCCAGACCACTGCATCGGTGGTGTTATGTAGGTCATTAGGAAGCACTCATTATCTGGTTGTCACTCTTCTTATGACTAAATGTGATTGACGATCGATGCCTAGACTCCCTGATTACTTAGTGGGTGTCAGTGTTGACAAGCCAATGCTGCCAGTTGTTCTTTATTTATTAGCTGGAATCCTTTCTATAAAATGGCCCTTCCCTTCATAATATATTTGGTTACTCTGGGATATGGTGTTTGTAGAAAAGTAAGAATAAATGTTTATTTTCATTCACCAGGTTTGGGCTTCTTCTTCTTCTTTTTTTTCCCCTTTATTGATTTTTAGAGAAAGAGATGGAAATATCGATGAGAGAGAACATTGATTGGCTACCTCCTGCACACCCCCCCACTGGGGATTGGGTCCACAACCTGGGCATGTGCCCTGACTGGTGACTTCTTGGTGCGTGGGTTGAGCTCAACCACTGAGCCACACCAGCCGGGCGGTTTGGGCTTCTTGTATCCCAGTGGTGACTTATTTGTACTGTGGTATAGGAGCGAGATTCTAGTTAATCATGACCTTTGTGTCTTCTTGTACCGGTGGGCACACTTTTACTTAACCAGCTCTAGTCTCATAATGGGGAGCTGCGTTCTGGCACTTTACCACCCAAGACGTCTTGATAATCACCGGCACTTTTCCCAAAAGATGGTGCTAATTTACAGCGCCACGTAAGAGTGTTGATTTCATCCTGTGCTTGCCAGCATTCTTGAGGATTATCAAGAAAAAGATTCCTTAGTGTATTTGATCTGTACATGCTTTGTGTTTCGCCAGGTGAACTAGTCTTCACTTTTATTTGATATTCTTTGTTATTTTTCTTTCTGTAGATTTTGAAAGACCATGGAGAGGATTTCCTCGTTGGCAACAAATTCAGCTGGGCAGACATACAACTGTTGGAAGCTATTTTAATGGTGGAAGAACTCGATGCTTCTGTTCTTCGGGACTTCCCTCTGCTTAAGGTAGTGTGTTAACATCACACAAAACCCAGGGCAGGGCAGTGAATAAAAACAAACACTGAAACATAACGTGTCTCCAGGCCAATCTCAAAAACCTTTAAGAAGACTGTTTAAGAGAAACATCATTATTTTATTCATTTTGGTCATTTTTTTCCTGCTCACACCATAGGATCCTTAAGAAAAAAAAAATCTTACGAAGGGAGAAAGAATAGATTGTCTGGATTCCTAGCACACGTGTTTAATGTGTTTTTTGTTTTTGTAGCGATTTCCTTTGTTTGCTTGCTTGCTTGTTTAGTGCTGGGAGTGTTTTTCCCTGATGAAGCAAGGATGGCAAGTCTGTCTTTGTTGTTTCCCGCCCAGCTCCTACCAAACAGCTCTGCTCCCTGTTAGTCACTCTGATGCCGAGGCCCCCACAGGTCCCCTGATGCTTAGAGCTTCTGTGTGGGTGGCACTGCTCATCTCCTGCTGCGTCCTCAGACCTCTCCCTCTGGATCCTGCCTCTGCCAGGCCTTACCTGGCCTCTGTTCAATTCCTTAGAAACATTGTATCTAAGAGGTGACCGTAGGTTTTATAAATTAAGAATAGCATGTTTTTCTTATCACCAAAGAAATGCAAGTTTATGTAGCTACTTTAGACAGGTGTATAAACCCAAAGAAAAATCTAATTATCCAAATGTTACTGCATCAGACAGCCTGACTATTATTTTTCTCCCCAAATAGGATCATACAAAATATTTTTTGTGGCCTTCTTTTAACAGTTTTTTTTTTAATGATCATCAATATATTTACATGTCAACAAATACTCTTCTGCAATATAATTTTATTTTATTTTCATTCACATCTTTTTGAAACATCAGAACTATATAAAAAGGCATGAATTAAGAAATATCACTCCCGCCCTGGCCGGTTTGGCTCAGCGGTTAGAGCATCGGCCCACGGACTAGAGAGGCCCAGGTTGGGTTCCTGCTAAGGATATGTACCTCGGTTGCAGTTTGTTTGTCCTTGGCCCCGGTTGGGGTTATGTGGGTGGCAACCAATGGATGTGTCTCTCTTGCATCGATGGTTCTCTCTCTCTCATCCTCCCTCTCTCCCTCCTGCTCTATCTCAAAATGAATGCAAAAATGAGCTCGGGTGAGGATAAAAAAAAAAGAAAGAAAGAAATCTCACTTCCACCACTGCCCTCCCAACCTTCCTGCTCCCATAATCACTTTCGTTGGTTTCCTGTGTACCCTTCCCCTGTTTCTATTTATACAGATACAAGCAAAAATTAATATACATTTATCCTTCCCCTTTTCCTACACAAGGCCCCTGGGCTTTGTTTTTCCCTAAACAATGCATTCTAGAGATTTTCTCCTGTCAACACAAGGACCTTCCTCTTTCCTGTTATATATAATACCATTTTCAACTACTGGTTTACATTTCTTGTAGGGATGTACCATAATTTATATAACCAGTTTGCTTGGTTTTGGAAACATAGCTTTTTCTAATTTTTCACCGTGTTAACATTCTTATAGCTATTTCTTTGCTAACACCCCTACTTATTCCCTTATAAAAAGTTCCTAGAACAGGAATTGATAGGTTAAAGAATTTTTTTAGTTTTTAACATGCACTGTCCAACTGTGACAGTGATTTTTTTTTTTTTTTTTTTTATTAAGGTAATTTAACTCATGCTATACACACCAGCAATTGTATTATTCTTCCCAGGAACATCAGCAAACATGCGTTGAGAGATGGACTCAGATTCAACACACTGGGCTCTGTACACTGCCGGTGTAAGCCCCCTTCTCTCTGACAGTTTTGATTTTTCTCAAAGGTTGTGACCGCTCCTGAGGCCCTGATTTTGTGGTTTCTTATTCCAGGCATTTAAAACAAGAATCAGCAATGTCCCCACAATTAAGAAGTTCCTGCAGCCTGGGAGTCAGAGGCAGCCCCCCCCCCAGACGGCCACTACGTTGCGGTGGTCAGGCACATTCTGCAGTTCTGACGGCAGCTGGTCTCACGGCGATGATCCACGATCCAATGCTCCAACCGCAGCGTCAGCACTGCCGGAGCTCACTGTAGATTCTAGGCGTACAGTGTCTAAAGAGAACAAAGCCTTACGCCATCAACAGCAAATGCCAATTAAATGCAATATGAAACCATTTTGATATATGAAAAATTTCAAGCTTGTCAATTGTGGATGATGGTTACCACACTTTTGAGATCGACGTCTAAATAAAAAGGAGGCTGATCTGTCTAGGGCAGGCCTTCTGGAGCACTGTCTTGCTGTCTGGATCCAGATCAGAACCCCTGGGGAAGGGCAAGCAGAGCTTTGGGGGTCGGATCTTTCCAACACACCCCCTGATGCTGAATACTTGGGCTAGAAAAAAAGTGACAAGTGACAAATTGTCTGGAAGAGGATGAATGATTTTAGTGAATCCTAAGGGGGAGTGGGGGGGGGGGGGCAGATAAAGTCCTGGGAACACCATTTGAGACCCTGATTTAAAAAACAACAAAACCTTGGACAATTTAGACACTATTCCACCTCTCGTAGCCACCAAGACTGGGTTTACTTTGGTGAAATAATTCCAAGTAACACTGAGATTAAGATATAACCAATGAATATTTATACACATTGACTCAAGGATTCCCTTGCCTTGATGTATTCTTTAAGGATAACTATTGTGTTTCCAAGTTGTGGCAGCTCAGCTGCACATGGCGGGGATGGAAGGGCTGACTTCGAGATGGGCCGACTGATTATTCAGGGCGATGTCACAGGCACAGCTGGGGGTGGTCCCTGGTCAGGAGCGGGGCTTCTGCCAATGGCTTGGGGTACACGGTTCCACCAGCTCTAAACTGCTGCTGGCTGTTTGCCCAGGCTTGATCAGCTTCTGAATGTGTATCCATGCACAGTATCTACTCATGAAATGACTTAATGTCTCACCAGCCTTCAGTCCACTTCCTCAAGGCCACCACAGGACATGATGTCCTACACCACACACTGCCCCACACGGTCCTACTCAGCCCATCATGGAAAACTGGGACATTCAGCATCCCCCGCCCAGCCCATGTGGGACCTGAGCTCCTGCTCCCAGAGTGGGCAGATCCCAGCCCCGGAATTCCCTTTAGCTAATCCCCCCATCTCATTCCCACCTTGACAAAGCCATGGCCAACTCACGCGTGATGAATAAGACAGACAGATAGAAAAGGCTCCTCAGAGGAAACACTGCCCCCCTCTGTGTGGGATGACCTTTCCCTCTGATTCCACCAGAGCGAGAGTCTGACCTTATAGAAATTCAGTGGAAAAAGAAAAAGAAATTGCTTTTTAATGGTTCAAAATTGTTAGCCAATTTCTTTTTATTATAATTACATGGCCTTGGTAAATAATTCGGTTTAGAAGGCTTATAGAGTAAAAAACAAAATCACCCCTTGCCTTTCCAGGCTGTTTCTATTTTTAATTATTATTTTTTTTATCCTCACCTGAGGATATTTTTGCATTTATCTTCAGATAGAGTGGTAGAGAGAGAGGAAGGAAGGGAGAGAGAGAAACATCGATGTGAGAGAGACACATCGACTGGCCACCACCCACACAACCCCAACTGGGGCAGGGGACAAACTGCAACCGAGGTACGTGCCCTTAGCGGGAACCGAACCTGGGACTTTCTGGTCTGTGGGCCAATGCTGTTACCGCTGAGCCAAACCGGCCAGGGCGCAGACTGTTTTTAGAACCAACCCCTCCTAGATTCTCACTTCTTGCTTGGATGTCTAAACAAGGCCTGGGCCTGGCCACAAGCTGGCACGTTCTCCCCAAGCACACCCCAGAGGCGCCCGCCCAAGGCACAGCCAGCCGGTTTCACTGTCCCACAGTCCCATAAGTATGACCTGGTGTCTTCCTTGTAAGTCATTACCTGTCTGCTATTCCCGATGGGGTTCTCTTGGGGCTCGCTGCATAACTCTGGGTGCACAAGGAAGTGAGCTCAGAGATCCCAACATCACCCAGCAAGACCCCACCCCCACACCCTCCTCACCAGGGAGTCTTTTTTTTTTTTTTTTTTTATCCTTACCTGAGGATATTTTTCCATATTTTGTACAGATAGAGTGGGAGGGAGAGAGAAGAAGGGAGAGAGAGAGAAACATCGATGTGAAAGGGACACATCGAGTGGCTGCCACCCGCATGACCAACCAGGGCCGGGGACAAACTGCAACCGAAGTACGTGCCCTTAGCGGGAACCGAACCCGGGTCTCTCCGGACCGCAGGCCGACGCTCTAACCGCTGAGCCAAACCGGCCAGGGCCCACCAGGGAGTCTTGAGTGTGGACAGAAAAAGAAGGGTGAGTGAAGGCATGAACTCAACATATCATAGAGATGGGGAGGTGGGATGGGATCTTGGCGGCGGGCCCTCTCTTCCAGAAGATGCTGGGACCGAGAGCCTGTTACCAGCCTGTTCTCCTATGTCACGAGTTTAGCTCTCTAGCAAGTATTTCTTTTCTTGGTGACTATGAGTCTCCCTCTTTCCGTTAAAGCTTGTGTGTGCAACCTGGGCAGAGGCCCCATCCCAACCCCTCCTAACTTGACAGTGATCATTACTCTGCCCTTGAGACTCCAAAGGTGTGATTGCTGCATGAGTTTCTGGGCAAGGGCTAGAGGGAGGGAAGCGAAGACAAAGTCAGAGATGTGTGTTCCCACTGGATCGCCAGCTCCGAGGAAAATGAAGAGAAAGGGGTTTGTGTTTGGTTTTGGCCTTTGAGTTGGGGGTGGGGGTGGTGATTGGTGGTTGTAGTCTGTTGCTTTTCAGCAAGAAAGGGGTTTTATTAGAGCATGTGTTGGAAAGAATGAGCATGAGTTCAGGAACTCGCAGACCATCAGGACTGCTGCTGTGTCGTTCTCCCAGGGCTCTGTGACTGGGTGTCCTGCTGGTGGCCCTGAGGGGTGCTGCAGCCCCGTGGAACCACGCAGAGGAGGCGAGAGAGGTTCCTTAAAGCAGTGGGGCGTGGATTGGGAAAGTGAGGCTCGGCCCCTGACCCTGCTGTGTTGTGTGCCCACGGGAATTGCTTCCTGGTTGAAAGAATGGAGAAAAACTAGACCGGGCGGAGGAGGTAAATTTGCCTAAGATCACAAGCGAATAATGAGTGGCTGAACCGGAACCTAGTCTAGATGTTGGGATCCATGATCTTTAAATCTATTTGGCCGGAACCCAGTGTTCTGTTTGGGAGATTAAAGGTAGCTGAGAAATGGTCTTTCCTGTTTGTTTAAAAGATGTCTGATTTGGACGTGGTGTTCCCTTTCATAGCCCTTAGCAGCCATTGACATGCTGAGTTACCATCCCCCCCCCAATTCATTTCCATCCAGTATCTATTGGACCCGCCCCCAAATATTATAAGAATAGGACTATTTTCTTTCAGGTTATAACACTATTGGAACATGATGCAATTTTTTTTTATGGATGAAACTTTCTTTGAAGTAACAAAAATCCAGTAAAGGAGGCAACTCTTGCCTTTGCAGCTCAGTGTTTTTGGTTTTTGTTTCCACAAATGCCACATTTCTATTTTTTAATAGAAAGTTTTACTGAGGTATAATTTATATATTATAAAATGTTCAATGACTTTTACTAAGTTTATAGTTGTGTAATCATCACCTCTCTCTAGTTTTATTTTATTAAAAAAATTTCTTTTGCCTATTGATTTTTAGAGAGAGAGAGGAAGGGAGAGGGAGAGAGAGATAGAAACATTGAGAAGAGAGAACATCAATTGGCCGCCTCCTGCATGCCCTCCCCTGGGGATCGGGCCCACAACCTGGGCATGTGCTCTGATCGGGAATCGAACTGGCGACCTCTTGGTGCAAGCCACTGAGCCACACGGACCAGACTCTCTCTCCGCTTTTAGATTGCTCCCATTATCCCCCAAAGTTTTCTTGTTTCAGTTGCCATTCCTACCCCAGACCCAGGCAATCAGTGATCTGCTCTTTGTCACAGTCTATTTACTTCTCCAAAATAAAACGGGCTCATACCCACAATGCCAAGATAATGATAGTCTTGGTCGTCTTCCTGTCTTTCTCTTCCTGCAGGAAGGTCCAGGAGTATCGCCCTAGCTGAGGAGCTGCCTACCTAAGCCTGAAATTTGGCATCACAGACTTCACCAGCCAAAGAGAGATTGTCAAGGTCCTGCCGAGGAAATCTCAGAAGCCCCTAAATCAGTTAAGGACTTTGAGGTATAATGTCAAGAAAATAGGATTTAATGCAAAAGTACGCTGTAATTCAACTAGCAGTTTTATATAGCCGTGTGCAAAGGGCAGAAATACGCAGACTGTTCCAGCCCTTGAACATGAACATTCTGGGTCCCCTGGCGCAGTTTTCCAACCTGTGTGTCCTGGATGGATTGCAGGGGGCCAACCTATTGATGACCTCAGCCTCTGGGTCAGCAGCAACTATCTCTGGGTCTACCCCTAGAGCTTACAAATACCATCATTTCTGTTCTCTGTCAGTTTGTGAAAGGTTGGGGAATTTCCTGAAGGGGTGCTGATGGTGGACCTGGAGTTGACAGTTTCATGAGTCAAGCCAGCTCTCGACATCACCCCATTTTCCTGGCTTGGATTCTGTGTTCATCACAGCCTCTCTTAGAGATTTTTCTCCAGGGTTGAAGGTGTGCTGGCCAGCTGTCAGGAGCATTCTGATCCTCCTGGAAAGTATTCTCTTCTTGTAAAGTGACAGATATCTCTGGTTTGTATATATGCCTTGTGTGTGTCTCTGTGTGTGCTGCAGTAAAATATGCACGACATAAAATTTACCATTTTAATTATTTTTTAAATGTTTTCATTGATTTTAGAGAGAGAGGAAGGGAGAGGGAGAGGGAGAGGGAGAGAGAGAGAGAGAGAAACAGTAATCGACTGCCTCCTGGAGGACATTCAGCCAACTGAGCCACCCAGCCAGGGCCATTTAATTCTTTTTAAGCCTGACCCTGCTGTTCATCTCAATAGCAGAGGAGGGTCAGGGGCAGGATGAACTTAGACTGTACATAACAAGGAAACTGGTGCAGTGAGGACGGGGGATGGTGAACTCTCAACCTTTACCTTAAGCGGATTTACCAGTATCCCTAGAAGTGGCTGCTATTTCTCAATAGTCTAAATTTCCCTTTACAATTGCAAAAGAATCCAATAATCTAGTTCATTCAGTTGTTTTTTCTTTCAGGACTTTGTGGTCCAATTGAAAACTATAGTTTGGTTGCATGCATTATTCCTAGAAGGCATCATTGAGAAGAATTTCATGTAGTGATAAAGCATTCT